CTTCTTCATTGGCAGATTGCCAGTTCGGCCACAGGAACTATCAACTGCAGGGTCTTTTGCTTTTTTTTTTCTATTTTTGCATATACTTAGTTCTGGCAACACATTTTAACTTGGATCAATTTCTGTTTTGTTGATCTTTTTTTTCATCTATGGCTGTCACGCCTCAATGAGGTGAGAGGCCACATTCAGATATTCAGCTTTTCACATTTTATTTAGAGCTTAGCAGGTTATTTGCTGAACAGTGGGTTGTGACAAATTGACAAGTGATACAAATTTAGAAAGAAGTTGCGGAGTTGAATCATTTTTTTTCAATCCAAATGCTTAAACCTAAATTTTATCACGCAAATGTCTGTTCATCGAAGTTCACTGATAGTAAATAAACAGGTGCATGTTCATCTGTTCATCCCTGAAACATGACTTCTCTCATCAAGCAATTAGAAATTTGTGCTACTAAACTGTTGCTTTATTTTTTAGTTACCAAGCTGGGGGAGTGAAGCAGTCAGGAACACTTTTATGTGTCTATGATTCCTCCAAAGAGAATTAATGTATTTAATGATTCTCTATGGCCAGGTGTGATGGCACTGCGAATGTGCAAGTGGTGTTGCGGTATGTTATGGTATGAGAGACAGAAAGTAAGATTCCTAGCTCTTATACCAGAGGGCTTAGAGGCATGGCTTGAAGCCGTGCTTTAAAGCATTCTAATTAGTTAAATAAACATTAGGGGGGTCAGGACTGCAGGCACTATAACAACTTCAATAAGATCAAGTTGTCAAAGTGCCTAAAGTATTCATTTAACTAGCTCACAAGCTATTCAATATTTACATATCTCACAGATCTCTGGGTGAGTTCTCTGGTCCGTTTACATCTGTTTGTGTGTATTGTCTGTCTATATTCTGTAACATTACCAAAGTTCTTTTTACATGAATTGTAAAGCGCTTTGGATAAGATAAATAAATAAAGATTAATAAATAAATAGGTAAATAAATGTTACGGTTATTTAAGAGGAATTGGAACCTATGAGGATGTTTATTGTTTAGAACACACTTAAAGTACATATTTTGCTTGTGGGACTTCAGTGGCTATAGTGATGATAGGAATTTGTAAAAGGAAATTGTATAATAAACAGACAGAAAACAGGACTCTGGGACAACTCATGGGAAATATGTATATTATTATATTAAGCGACAATCCCGACTTGAACTGACCCATTGTTTTGTAATGTATTTAATAGAGCATTAAAAATAAAAAATAGAACTAAAAATGCCTGCCCCCCTCCCATTTCAGTGGGCATGGTAAAAAGGTGGGCCACTGACACGAATCACGTAACCAAAACCGCTTAAAGAGGCAATCATACCCAAAAAAAAATCTGTCCAAGGAATTAGAAGGTCAGCCTGGCGTGAATACATGTCAGGCTGCTTGTCAATCATGCACACTGGCTTACTAGGGGCATACTATGCAGACAGCACCCTGAGCTTGGCATAAATGCGTCTAATGATGCGCTCGCTCCATGCTTTTTAAGGACTGTCCCATAGCACTCAGTTGTCCACTTCTCTCCTAACCTTCTTACTAGCATGCAGATGCTCCTGTTATACAGTTTGGGACAGAGAAAAGGTGTATGTAGTGAGTGTAGAAGAAAGGGAACATAACACAAAGTTAGAGAGACTGAAGCAGCAAGATCATTTGCATAGTGCGCAAAGTCAGCTTTACCTTAACTAATTTCATTGTCAGCCAGTCCACACCAGTTTTGTTTTCGACATCCAGATGTGAATAGCTACAGCTCCATCAGCCCCTATATTAATTGGGCCCTGTTTACAGCCCCTTAGTACTAAAGGATTGCATGCAAACAATGCATGTGCCTTCCGTACATATGGGTTTGCTATAATAACAGGATGGAGTTTACATGTTTTCTTATTGCACTCCTCGCCACATTCCTAAATTAAATGGGATGTGGGTCAAATAATAGAACTGTACAGTTTACAATACTGCCGTACATAATCACTGTATAAATAGTGTACACCTATTAGTGCTTGATAAATAAAATGATCCATATGATGCTCCTGTTCGCTGTCCCTGGTTTGTTCGCTGGTGTCCTGCTTTTAGGAACATCAAGGAATTGTCCCCAGAAAGTGTAATGTGAGATGGATTCATGCCATACTAAGGACACTAGAACCATGCAGAGAGTACCATCACAGCGTTGTGAGCATGGAAAGCCCTTAATGGCAGCAAAATTGGCAGTCAGCCTGGTGTGCATTCATTACAAAAAGAAAGTGCTCTGTGCAAATAGGCGCTTAGTGATAATACAAATGTAAAAAAACAGCTCAAACACACGTGCAGGTATCCCAATCCTACACAAACAAATATGTGAATTGTCTGACATGCCCATTTTTTGGCATGGGTGCAGGCTGCCTCAGTGACCCATGCACACATCGGAGTCCTCAATTAACATACTTTCCTATGTTAGGAGGTATGCTACGTGAGCTTGTACACGGTCAAAAAATGTGGTTCTTCGTTTTGGTTTGGATGAATTTGGCCAATGCAACCATTTCAGAAGTAGGAAAACTTACCCTATATTCAGCGCTTCGCAGATCCACCAGCGCTGGCTCCATCCCTGATCCACCTTCTTGCTGACATAATCAGAATTAAAAGAACACTGTAGGCACCCAGACCACTTCAGCTCTTTAAAGTGGTCTGGGTGCTGTGTCCCTTTTGCACATAGTGCTGCAATGTAAAACACTGCAGTTCCAGAGAACTGCAATGTTTACATTGCAGCACTAAGTCTGCCCTTTGGTCCGTTATCTGACACTAGACGTCCTTACGGACCTCCAGCGTCAGATTTTCTAGGAGTTCTAATGCCCGCGCAGCCATTGCCGTGCATGTACATTCAGTTTCTCCCGCCGGCTGAGGTTTGTGGGGGGGAGCGTGGTCAGAGCCAGGGACATCTGTGCTGGTTCAGGTTAGTGGCTGAAGGGGTTTTAACCCCTTCAACCCCACAGGAGGGGGGGGGGGCGCATGGGAGGTGGACCTATTAATCCTATAGTGCCAGGAAAATGGCAGAAAAGGCAGTGTTTACATGAAAATGCCTGCAGTGAATGATTATAGTAAACTGTAGTTGTTCTGGTGTCTATAGTTTCCTTTTACATAGTTACATAGCTGAAAAGAGTTTTGCGTCCATCAAGTTCAGCCTTCATCACATTTGTTTTTAGCTGTCGATCCAAAAGAAGGCAAAAAAAACCAGTTCAACTTGATCTATGAGTAAAATCAACATTTATTATTTTTCCTCTAAACCTCGATCATGTTTTTTTGGTGCCACAGATGGAACTTCAAATCTTGGAACAAACAAAACAGTTTGTCCATTGCCTGTTTTATAATTCATTCATACAGCGTTTCGGAGTTATGGAATTCGGATGAAAAATCACAATTTATTTGAAACTGAATGCACAAGTCTAATGCAATTTTTATTTTTTTTACATTTTTCTATTTTTGCTGTGCCGACAAATAACACAATAACACCTGCAATGCCACAACAGCTGAAGCAGACACATGTCAGTCATAGTTCAACAGACATGGCATTCGACAAGGAGCACAATATTGTCAAAATAATGCTAATCTAAGCAATAATCTTGAGGGGGAAAAAATTGTGAGAGATCTAATGCTATTTTAATATACTAACATTTACAACTTGCTGTTTTGACAAGCACTGGAATGGTCAGAAGACAATGACGTGGCATCCCCACCAGACAAAATTGTATATAGTCACTTATTATTAGTAGTAGTATTAGTAGTATTTATATAGCGCCAACTAATTCCGCAGCGCTTTACAATATTATGAAAGCGGTATATTTACAAATAAGACAATTACAAAGTGATACAGGAACAATAGGTAGATGAGGGTCCTGCTCTTCAAGACGTAAAATCATAATAACAGTATGGCTGACTACTGACAATAGATGATGCATCAACATGGAACCTTGTGTACGGAACATTTAAAATGTTTCTCTAGATAATATTTGCTGAGTATTTTTGCTTTTCATTCAATATTTTGAAGCACTATAATATAATTATGTTTAGGAAATTCTTTCTGATTAATGTAAGTTTCATTACTGTTTGATTTAAACGGCGTCCAAAAGACTGCATATATTTAGGAGAGCAAGCTGTTATTAATTTCTTCATTCAAAGACATTACAGCAAAATGAAGACATGACAGTGATATCAATGAACCACTTTAAAGATTAATCAGCTATTTAACTACCAATTTCAGCCATGGGATCAGATACATGTTCCGCCAATCAACTGCATTCCCAAAAATCACTGTTGCTCAGTCACATTTCTGTGAAGATTCCGTCTCCCCATCCCGTGTTGTTTTTCTGTTACAGTGCATTCAAATGATGAATGATGGACATGCCTCAGAGAAACTCAAGATCAAACATTCATTAATAAGGTGATATGGATTGTCTGGGGGATACACATTATGAAATGTGCATTCTATCCACAGAAAACACATAATTAACCCATGCATTGTATGGTAATGTGATCTGATTACTGTGCCTTAAAAATACAACGTTAAATGCAAACATATTTTGCAGTCACATATAATTTGTAATTAAATTAATATGGCATACTGTGCATCTTGCAGATCTACATTTTTACTATCCCTTTAACACAAAGGGAAAAGAGTAAATGCCTAGGACTTCAGGGGCCCATTATGACTTATTTTGCCAACTGACTCTTGTTTAAAGGAACATGGCAAGTACCATAACCACTACAGTGTGCTGTAATGGTTATGATGCCTGGAATGCCTAGTACTAACCAATGTAAGCAGTCATACTGTTTTAGAATGGTTTAACTTCTTACACTGGGTGCAATGTGTCCAACTCCTCAACTCTACTACGAGGGATGCACCAAAATTTCGGCTGCCGAAATGTTTGGCCGAAAATGGACATATCCCATTTTGGCCGAAAAAGGGTCAAATCTGCCAAAAATTACACCCTCCCTCCCCGCTTATGAGAGGGCACAATGCCCGGTTAGTAGCCAGCACTATGAGAGGGCACAATGCCCGGTTAGTAGCCAGCAGTATGAGAGGGCACAATGCCCGGTTAGTAGCCAGCAGTATGAGAGGGCACAATTTTCAAGTACCAGAAGAGAGAGATCACAATACACGGGGAGGAATGAGAGGCGGGTTTATACCATCAGCCACTGTCCCCGTGCTGTCACTGTTCCTCCTCCTCCAGCCAGTTCCAGTTACCGTGACTCAAGTTCCGCAGCAGTCGGTGACACAAGATCACAGAGCTTCAGCCACCAAAGCACGCAAGACCCCAGCGTAACCCCTCCCACCTCAGGCTGGTGATCCAAAGCGCGCAAGAAACTGCATTACCACGGCAACCGCCACACGACTCTGTCCTCTCAATACAGCCGAGAGTTAGTCAGTGAGTGTTATTGTTGAGGTCAGCCACGCCCATTAGCCCATTAGCCCATGCTCATTGTGAGATTGGATGGTTGGAGGGTCCTGGCTGGCAAGGAAGGCGGCAGACATATTGTGATTGGCAATTCTTCACCCAGTTAAAAATGTTGTTTGGCATCTTTGACCAATTCACTACAAAGTGCTATAGGGACTGCGTTTTGCAATTCCTTACCCAGGCTCCACAATTACCAATCTGGTAAATAAAAACAAAAATAACAGGTGAAGGTTTAAGCTATAAAATCTAGGTTAGAGTCGAGTTATTCACTAAAGTGTCTTTTCTTTCTTTTCTTTTTTTTATTTAAAAAAATCTGAATAAGTACCTTTGAGGGTTATTTAGCAAACTCCTGCATGTAGCAAAATTAGATCTGAATTATGAAATAGCTGGGAGAACGTGGAGGGTTATTCTCCAACTCTAACATAGCATAACTCCCAATTTTTGGTAGTTATGGAAGCAGGACAGACCAAGAGACCTGCCAGAGGTGCAACTTGTGTCATTAGTGATGTCAAGAATGGGTGGGCCTGCATGCCTCCCAACATTGGAATAGAGTAGAGGCCCATTGCCTTTATGTGTTTGGTAGACATGTGCAATTCGTTTTGGTCCGAATATGAATTCGGACGAATTTCGGGCTATTTGGACATTCGGGTACTTCCGAATGTCCGAAGTGCCGAATTGCAGAGGTCCCGAAGTTCCGAAATTACCAAATTTCCGAAGTGTCGAAGTGCCGAAGTTCCGAAGTTGCTGAAGTTCCGAAGTGTCAAAGTAGCTGAAGTGCAGAAGTTCCGAAGCACAGTATTGCCTAAGTACTAATATACTTACCCAGTGAAAGAAGGAGAATGTTACATTGTATACAATTTTAAATAAAAAGTATACAAACATAGCCAGGATTCAGCTGTAAACATTTGCAACACTTACAACAATCAAGTAACATACATTCATATAAAATGTAAGTTACTTAGCCAGTCAGTGTAATAACAGGAATGAATAAGGAGATAACTCCCTAATTCCCACGGTATTAGGGAGCTATCTACTAAAAGGCTGAAAGACCCTAATTGGTCTTTCAGCCAAATTTACTAATACTAAGTAAAGATTACTTAGTATTAGTAAATTATGCCCCTACTCACTATACCGCGAGTAGGGGCATGTCTATTAAACAGTGAGCAGCCTCTGTTTAGGGCCCCCACCCACGAGGGGCCCCCCTATTTAGGGTACCCCCTATTTAGGGTCCCCACCCACCGCTCAGGGGTGGGGGCCAGGGGGAAGGACATTAGGTGTCCCCCCCTTATTCTGATTTAGGGCCTCCACCCGCCGCTCAGGGGTGGGGGCCAGGGGGAGGACATTAGGCCTGTGGCTGCTCACTGTAAAAAAATAATAGTGGGGGCCCTACAGTAAAATAAGGGGGAGAACCTAATGTCCTCCCCCCGGCCCCTCACCCCTGAGCGGTGGGTGGGGGCCCTAAATAGGAGGGGGCCCTATTGCCGAAGTCCCGAATTGCGAAAAATCCCGCATTTCGGAATGCCGAACCGAAAATTTTCCCCATGCACATGCACATGGGTCGCGTTTCAAGCTGTTCAGGGATGCATGCGAGACACAGGGTGAACATGCTTGCTCTAAACATTTCTATTTGTTGCTATGACCCAAATGACTTAATGTGCAAATTTCTAAATTATGTCACAAAAAGGAAGACATCTTGATTTCCTTCGATTACTTAAGCACCAGTGGAATTGATATCACCATCAGCAACTTCTTATTACCACTGTTTTCACTGTCAACAGGACATGATTTCCCCCCTCTGATTTAAATTCTGTTTTCCTTCAGTGGTGGCAGGAGCATTTGCCATTCTGGCTTTCCATAGACATCTCCTCTCTGTTTACCTTTCAAAATTACTCTTTTGTTTCTTTAACAAATTACTTATTACAGCTCATAATTGTATTTTCCTTGCTATTGTTGCTTTGTTTTATTATCTTTCCTGAAAACGTGTCAGTTTACCATAATTCATCATCATTATCTGTTTGTTTATCATTTGTTTAATTGTTTAGTGTTTTTTTTTATTTAATGCAAACAAGGTATTTCTTTTGATAACTTTTTTTTATAAAAACTAATTCTTGAAAAAAATGAATCTACACAATAAACAATTTTTTTGTTTGTTATAAAGCTACCAATATTATTTTTTTGGCTGAATGAAAGGTCAATTTTTTTCTAGATTAAATTGCTACTTTAGGGCTCGACAAATCCCAGGCGCCAGGTCGCCATGGCGACTAGAAATTTTGCCCTGGCGCCTGGGATTTGCCAGCTCCTTAATGTGGCCGCCGAGGGAGCTTTGAAGCATGGAGCCGGCTGCCAGAGGGAGCAAGGAGGCAGCAGTGACACAGGACTCTCTAGTGGCCTTCTGAGTGATGGTCACTAGAGATGTTAATAAGCTTTTTTTATGAAAAGGCAGTGTTTACATTGAAAAGCACCAGAACGACTACATCAATCTGTGGTGGTTCTGGTGACTATAGTGTCCCTTTAAGAATTGCAATTTTCTTGTTGAAAATGACTGGCTCCTATCTTTTTTAGCTGGCTCCTAGATTCCAAACAAATTTGTCATGCCCTGTGCTACTTACTGTGGTGAAAGTGGGGCGGAAGGTTTGCAAAGAATGTAGGCAAAAAGCTGGATTATTTTTTTTTTTTAAATGTTGTGTGTCCCCCCCTTGTATGTGTAGTTATTGCTTTCTATGGACTGTTTGACAGACCAAAACGGATATCAGCAGAGAGGCTTGTCAGTAATACTGTTGTGTAAAAACATTATCACCTATTAGTAACAATTTCAGATTTACTTTGCACAAACATTTAGTTTCGGATCAGGAACAAAAATTGCAGAAGAGAAAATTTCTGTGCACAGCAACTAAGAAAACTTAGAAGGAAGAGGGATCATAGCCCCGCCCCCTTTTCACACCTTCAGTCACACCTGCTAGAATATACCTGTCCTTCTATGCAGTCAAATGCTTTTAGTTATAGTAAGTGGGCTTTTGTTCTTTTTTTAATTATAATAATTTATTTATGTGTAAGGACATAAAGCTATAAAATAGGCGATTTATTACTTTTCATTAAAATAAAAAAAAAAAATAGAAAATAAACTACCAAATCACTTGCTCAAAACACAAAGCTAGTCTAGCTTTGGAAAACCAAGCACCACATTTATGTAATGTATATAATTTTAAAAACTAGGGCTCTGGAAAAGGTAACCGCAGGCAATAGATGTGACGCGCGTCCCCGCTTCCCCAAGCTGTGAGCCTGCCAGCCGGCGCGCCCCCGCCGAGCAGCCGCGCGCGGGCCACGTGCGCGCCGCCGTCTCTGCCGCCTTCTCACGCTATTGGCCCGAGGCCCACACCAGCCCCTCCTTTCTCGGCGAGCTATTGGCTGGCCGCCCGAGAGAAGCTCGCTCCTCCCCCCCTCCCTCCCTTTCGGCACAACATACACACCCTGCACATGGGGAGGGGGCGTAGCGGCAAACTTCGGACCACGTGACAGCAGCTGGCAGGGAAGCCGGAGAGAGGCGAGCGGCAGAACTGAGTGAGAGCAGGAGGAGAGAGGATTGGGAGAGACAGACAGACAGAGAGACAGACAGACAGAGCCGCTCTGTGTCCAGGTACCCAGCATTCACACACTGCACACAGACATAGCATGCTGCTGCACTCTGACATCACAGACATTCACTGATTCCCTGTACTGGTCTGTGTATGTAGTGTTACTGTCTGTACTGACACGTACTGCTCACACACCGATACAGAAAGACACACACACAGATACAGACACACACACACACACACAGATACAGAAAGACACACACACACAGATACAGAAAGATACACACACAGATACAGACACATACACACATACACACAGATACAGAAAGACACACACACAGATACACACAGATACAGACACACACACAGATACAGACACACACACACAGATAGACACACACACTGTCCCACCATCACTGACAACTACTGTCACATAGACTGGATACATACCTGACATGTCATGTGACCCCCACCTAATATTAACCCAATATATTTATATATATATATAATATGGATAGACTGGTACCCGACTAATATAATATAGATTGACTGGCACCCGACTAATATAATATGGATAGACTGGCACCTGACTAATATAATATGGATAGACTGGTACCCGACTAATATAATATAGATTGACTGGTACCCGACTAATATAATATAGATTGACTGGCACCTGACTAATATAAGATGGATTGACTGGCACCTGACTAATATAAGATGGATAGACTGGCACCTGACTAATATAATATAGATTGACTGGAACCTGACTAATATAATATGGATAGACTGGCACCTGACTAATATAGATTGACTGGCACTCAACTAATATAATATGGATAGACTGGTACCCGACTAATATAATATGGATTGACTGGCACCTGACTAATGTAATATGGATAGACTGGCACCTGACTAATATAATATATATTGACTGGCACCTGACTAATATAACATGGATAAACTGGCACCTGACTAATATAATATATATTGACTGGCACTCAACTAATATAATATGGATAGACTGGTACCCGACTAATATAATATAGATTGACTGGCACCTGACTAATATATAATATCGATTGACTGGCACCTGACTAATATATAATATCGATTGACTGGCACCTGACTAATTTATAATATCGATAGACTAGCATCTGACTAATATATAATATCAATAGACTGGCACCTGACTAATATAATATGGATAGACTGGCACCTGACTAATATAATATGGATAGACTGGTCCCAACCTGACTAATATAATATGGATAGACTGGTACCAACCTGACTAATATAATATGGATAGACTGGTAACAACCTGACTAATATAATATAGATAGACTGGTACCTGACTAATATAATAGACTGGTACCAACCTGACTAATATAATATGGATAGACTGGCACCTGACTAATATAATATGGATAGACTGACACCTGTCTAAACTTGTGAATATTGGTTGGCACCTGACTAAAACAATGCACATGGACTGGCACCTCACCAAAATGATACGCACATATTGGCACTTGGCTATATTATATATATTGACTTAAGTGGTATACAGAGAGAGACACCTGTCTAGAATAATATGCATAAACTGGGACCTGGCTAAAATGATACCTACAGACTGGCACGTGACTAAATTTAACTTGTTTGTGTAGACCGATAAATACCCAACAGTTTGTATATACATTGGTTCCTGCATAGTGTGCAGACTGGCATCTTCACATTATATGTATTGACAGGCATTCACCTCACACACACACATACACACATATATATATATATATACCAGTAACTAGCTGAAATGTTTATAAGCAGAAACTTGCCTTACCAATGCAAAGGCCCTTATCTTTGCTAAAGTATGCACATATTCAACATGGAGAAGGCTTGTATTCATCTAACGTTATATATATTTATATAAAGTGACACCAAGATAATACAAAAAATGTGTACTGACACCGGATTAAAGTGGCTTTGTCACCTCAAACGAAACCTTTGTGCTATTGTTCCCTCTTTCAGGATCTATTCTTTATATCTGATATGTTTCTTTTTAAAACTTAAAACAATATAGAGACAGCTTTGTTTTGTGTTTATTTCCTACGCTTGACAATCTTGACAAAGGGTGGAGCTTAGGACAAGTTCCAGCATCTTTACAAAGAGATCCTACTTTGTCTTTTGTTTTAAAGAGAAATAGATCAGAAATGAAGAAAATAACAAATTCTGTTGCCTGCATATTGTGCGAGCAGTCACACATTATGCACAGATTTAACATTGGCCAGCCTTAAAATCTCACTCTGAGAGCAAAGTTCTTTAACTCTGTACGTGAACAATTTCTCAGTGAAATACTACACATGTTGACCGCAAGCTCCATGAAAATGTTAAAGCACTGAAGTGGTCATGGTGCTTGCAGTATACCTTTCTTATCAAGGGCATGTTTTTGGAGTAGTAAACTGTACTGGCAGTCTATTATCTCCCCACTTTAGTTATTTTTCTGTGTACTTATTTTCTCAATTTGTTGCTCTTTATGTTTACAATTGCAGGAAATTAGATTTTTGGTCCTTGCCTATTAGATTAATCCAGGATGTGTATGGATCAATGATTTTATGCTATGATTTTGTTAATTGCGTTTATATATTTGATATCTTCTCTTCAGTAAGAAGTTATCTAATCTTTACATAGTGCACCTTTGATAGTGTGTTTGGTGTAACTATGTATTATGTGTGTATATATGTATGTGTTAGAGATGGAGTCTTGCTTCACATTAACGATGAAACTATTGTCATGAGTGCTTTTCTTAAGAGGTGTTTTGAAAAATAACGTGTGTGTGTATATTCTAAAAAGGGTCCATGCACTGATACATAATGTATCTTAATCGCAAGAATTTAGGCAAATTTCATTACATAATAGCAATCCTGGCTGAACAGGATATAGAAATATTAAAACCTGATTAATGTTATACAGAAGTACTGTAGTACCTGCCTGATAAATAAAAATACGGAGACATACCTCATGTTTTATAACCAATGAAACACTGAACACTTATTTAGCAGTTCTGACACTCCCGCCATGTCACACTGTTGACCTGAGTCCCCACATCCACCCCTCATTCCTGGAAACTTATTGGCCTAGCACTTGTTATTTGACCCTCCCTTCGGTCACAACAATTTAGCTCATTATAAATATAGTTTTAATAATAGCACACACCTTGCATGCGGGGAGGGGGCATACACTTCACACCACGAGTTAACAAGTTACAGAGAAGACATGTTAATTAGATTTGTAAAGTATGCAACATTACATAAACCCAATACCTGTATACTAAGGCACTTGATTCTTGCCCCAGAATTGTATCCCTATGCATTAGAAACAATTTGGCAGATACAGTGTAACCTCTAAGTCTTCTAAAACTGATTTAATTGTGTGTGTGTGTGTGTGTCACATTGTGGCATTGTATTGGTCATCTGGCAAACAAAATATCAAATGTTTTCCTACAGTGATATCTCACATTTTTTTCAAAGGCTGGAGACTATACTTTATACACAGATCAGCATTTTTATTGTTAAATAAGCAACCTAGCACCTAATTGCACTAAATGGCCCAACGTATGTAGACGCTCCTTCTAATTAGTGGATTTAGTTACCGCAGCCATATCTAACAGATTCTCACTTCCAAGCAATCTTGTGCTGTAGAACTGAGTGATTTTAAACATTAAGTTGTCCTAGGATGCCAATTTCCATCAGGTCAGTTTGCAAAATTTGTACCATGTTGCAGTTGCCACACATATTTAATAAGTGCTGTTTTTGTTATGTGGAAATGCCAAGAACAACAAACTCTCTCTCCTTTAGTGTTATGCCACGTACATTTGAGTAAAATTGTGTGTCTGTGGCTGGGCTTTTAAAAACTCTGCTTCTTATTTTAACCAAGGACATTGCCAAGGATTGGGACATGGCATAAAGCTTGTCACCACCGATGCTGGAGAATTTTAAATGTGTTTTCTGGAATGATAAATTGTTCGTAACTATCTAATTAAGTTGGATAACACTGATGTTGATGGATTCCAAGAACTCAAAGTAATATGCCTGATTGCATAGTATTCATGATGGAGGAATAAGGTCTGGGCCTGGTTTAATTGTTTGTGCTAGCTCCTGTAAAGAGACATCTTACTTCGCTATGGATTGACATAGTGCACAATTCCATGCTTCCACATTTTTGTCAAGTTCTGAGGTTTTTGGAAGGTCCTTTCTTGTTTCAGCACGACAGGGCTCCTGTGCACAAAACAAGGTCCAAACAAAAGTGGCTTGTGGAGATCATTGTAGAAGAACTTAACTGGTCTACACTAGCTCATCCTTCTCCCCCATTCTATACCTTTTGAGATCAATTGCAATAAGTATTAGCAAGGACTAACAGCCCAATATCAGTCACTCACAGTTTCCTTTGCCTGAATGGTAGTACATTCCTGCAGCAGTGGGAAAAACGTCCCACAAAAATAGACCGCTTCAGACCCAACAGGGGGAGTGAACTCTAAATTAAAATGAGTTCTTTTGAGATATTCAGTGAGAACGTGTCTGTATTATTTGGTAATATTGTGAATCATTGCATACAGCCCTCCAACCTATACATTACATTGAGTTGGAATTGTCTACAACTGTGATTTAATGCAGAGGTATGCTGTACGTTGCTGTTGTAACTCATTACTGGTCTATGATATCTGTGCCTTACGCTTCATTAAACCATTTAGAAATGTTCTAATGTATGTGCATGTATTATTTGGGCATAGTGTTAGCTCAGTAATGATGGTAACGTAATATCAATGTGATTATGTAATTGTACACACTACCTCTTTCAGTTAATATCATTTGCATGTATAGCTGGAAGCATTGTTTTAAATATTGAGGATGCAAGTCAGCGCTTGACTGAAATATTGTTGGCCTGTTTCTTGTATATTGAGCACAGATTGTATTCTTGATTTTGTTTTCTGCCTTGTACAGCACTGTCCATCCCAAGCTTTTTTTCTTGATCATTTACTTTGTTTGTGTCTACCCTCTCAGCTGGAACGATATTTCAAGTATCTAAACCACTATGTCTAAAAAAAAAAATCTATAATAATTTCAGATTCAAGCACTGGAAATTCACCTAGCTTTGTATGTTCTCTCTCTGGCTACCGTCTTGTGATGGTATATTTCTAATATTAGAAATATATATCAAGCAAATTGTTGTTTCAGTCTTTCCCATTGGCAATACCTTGAAATAGGTTGGTGTAAAGGTCCGAAAACAATAAATATGCTGACTTTAATGTTATGATCTGTGAGTGTGTCCTTTTTTATTCATTTGCTGTATTTTTGGCTCTTCTGTGAACTTTGCATCTAGACATATATTATTTAAAAAAAATAACCATTTGTACAGTTCCACCCTGAACCGCAGTATGTGGGGCTCCTGGAAAGTACGTGTATACTTAATTATATAAAAAATAGAATGCAGCCAGAGAGACCATAAAATAAATGGAAAAAAATCCTACCCCCATGCTTGCTACCCCAATACCTTTTTTTTTTTTTTTGCAAACAATAACTTTCAAACAACCATAGCAGTCCTGGAGTTATTAGACTCCACCCTTAATCATTTTCAACCAGAATACTTGATTTGAAAGGAAATCAATATTTTACTCTATCTTATTAAATATTGGGTAAAAAGAAAATAAATCTGAAAAAAAAATTGTTACGTGCAGACTGCAATGACCTCATTGAGATTATAAATGATCTCATGCAAATAGAGACTTTTTGATTGATAGCAATAGTGATATTATTTTTCCTTTAAAAAAAAAAAAAATCCTAGAGTTTCTTCATTCTTTTTTTGGGGGTGCGCTATTTTAAACAGATACTGGAACCCCATTCGTTTATAACCTATGGGACATTCAGTGTGTGCCATAGGATTGCCCATCGATTTCTAGGACTTGTTACTAATCTTACTAGTATACCTTATTATATGCTGTCCCACTGATCTGCTTGTAGTCGCTACAATTGATGATTATGTCATATAGTACATTGAATAATTGTGTGTTGCCTTTTTTTCCATTATTACTGGTCTAGTGAAGTGATTTGTCTGCAAGATTATTGCTGATACATTTTATCATTTAGATTAGACAATTCTGGGCAGAGGGCCAGAGCAAAGAATATACAGATGGGCAGGCATAGGAGAGCTATCTAGGCATCCAAGGTCTTGCCAGAGCCTGACCTAAACAGCATCTTAACAGATTTACTTATTGTGCCTGTTGCATATACTATCACTTCTGTCTCCCAACACCATTCATACTTTATTAAAGCATATGTTATTCGCTCATATATGAATAGCACATAGATGAATACATAACAATCAAAACACGTTTTTTTGTTTATATATATTTTAGTTCATAAACATAACTGAGTAACATTTTTTAAGTGTTATTTTAAAAAAATAAACTTTTTAATAAGCAACGTGTGCTTTAGGGAAGCACAGTAAGAATGTAGAGAAAAGAGAAACACAAGTTTATAAGGAACTATAAAAAACCATTTATGCACGGTTTTATTTCATGGTTATGATACTAGCACATCCCATAGTAACATGGAAGCGTCACTCACATCCCTATTGCTAGTAGAAATTTTAAGTCTTATTAAAACAAAAATTATTTAAAAAATTCACTTCAGTGGAAAAGACATATTAGTTAGGTTTACCAGTTCCACCATGTTTTCAGGGAAACGTATGTCATATTCATATTGATGGGTAGCACATGAAAAGGGTTGCCCTGCATTATGTAGAATTCAGAAGAAGGTGTATAAGATTAAGTAATTAGGCAATGAAGAATCCTGCAGAACATGGTGGATTTGACAACTCTAATATTAGTGGAACCCTTTACTTATTTTTAAACCCCGCTGTTCTGTACATGTTTTTGGGATGTACCAATTGTCTTCCAGGTTAAAGGCAAACACAGATCCAGTCCTAAGGTAATTAGTTCTACGGCCAACTTTCCATGTTTATTCAGCATATCCCATCCACTAGACTTTTAAAAGCATTTTTACGTATTATTTTAAATATCACTGTGTTATATAATGAAATGTGGCTTTAATTGCTTTAGAACCATTGAGTATATTTTTGGAACATGTGTAGTGCACATAGCAAGTATACAAACAAATTAAATGGCTAATAAAAATGCTTCACTTGCAATATATACATTATGTCAATTTCTTATTTCATACACACCTTCTCCTCATCCATTTTAGGCAGAGAACGCCAGCATCTATTCACAGAATGGAGAATAATGGAAATGCCATATTTTAGAATATTTCCAGTTTGTTTATTTTGGCATAGGAGTTGCAATTGCTTTATCAGTTCTCTACAATTACTTGGCTTAATGAATAAATACTATAGTGATTATATTGTAGCTCAAATGTTCAAGGTGTAGATAAATAGATTTTGTTCCCCATTCTCATTATATTTTTGCTGACATTGTACTTTTAATTTGAGTACAAAGATGATAGACCTTATTTATCTTTTTGCTCGAGTCCTCACATTAGTGACAGCATGCTGTTTTAGCGTTGGGTAAGCCGAATAAAATTTTTAGATCTTTTTATTTTTTATAAACTTTCCTTTCAAATAAAATATCTAGACATATTTCACAATATGTGGGAGACAAATGTTTCCAGTAATGAGCTAAACGCAAGTCATGACTGAAATATAGACAGGATTCAAACTGCTGGAATACACTGCGACGTGACATTTTGTCAGTACATTGAAAAGGTGAATCTGCATTATTGTTGACCAGTATTTACATATACACAACTATTCTCAGTATAGATTATCAAACGGGTAAGCCAATATGTTCCATTTTTTTGGCCTTTCAAGGCATCAATGCAGAGAGGTTAAAAGGTACAACGCTAGTCTACAATCACATGAGCTCTCTTTTGTGTATCTATTGTCAAGGGTTAGATGATCGGAACCTTGCAAGTGATTCTGTCTTATATTAGCTGAGTACACTGCTTTTATATGGCTACTGCCTTTTATTTTTATAAAGTGTAGTGTTTGTGTGAGCTCATATGTTAATAGTACTAAATATAATACCTAGATTACGTGAGAATAGCCTGTTCCATCTGTTTGTTAACTTCTTGTGCCTTTTAGTTGAGCCACTCTGTCTGTGACTTGGCATTTATTGGCCGTGGTTTGACTGTTTGAAAAACTCTTTGTGCTGTGTATAGTGTGTACCCATAAACATATTTTATTTACTTTGCCAGTTTTATAATGTAACTGTGCAGAACATGATGATAACACTTACTCATAAAGCAGTGAATTTCAGCTGGGTGATGTAAACTTGGAAAACATATTTTCAGATTTTACAAATTAAAGCAAAATGGTACTGTAAGATATGCTTATATCGCATCCTCCAGATACTGTTTATTTTATTTTTTATTGATGTTAAATTGGCTATTCAACTGCTATATAGCTGCCAAACCTTTCATGACATTGGATTCAACTAAACAACCATTGCAACTATTTTCCTTTTAATTGTGAAACAAAATAATAATCAAACATTGATTCATTTTATTGTGTCTCTGTAACATTACATGAGCTATTTTCTTCCTTAAAAGGACAATCCAGGCTGGTATTAACACTTTTTTTTTTTTTTAAATCCATTTTTAGATTGTACATGACATTAAGAAAAAACAACCAATCTTAGTTCTGGTGCAAATCCTCACAAATTACATCAACAGCCTTGAGTTTTACCTACTCCAGAAAGCCCCATTCTTAGACTAGGACCATGATGTATGTAGTGTTGAACTATTGGACATGATTAACCCTGCATAGAAATGGTTAATGTGTCAATCAGGAACTAGCTGTTTAACAGACTATGTAAATGTGGTGACCTTCAAAATGCAAATGACATCTAGAATATGTCACACTGGAGGGGCTTACTAGAAGCTTTTAAACCTTTTTGTACTCGGCTTTGCATCTCTTCACGATGACTTCTGATTTAATGGACTGTGTAAGTGGGGAGGGAGGGATAGAGAAGGAACTGAGACATCACATACATAGGTATCCTAACAAGAGAGAAGAGGAAGTATTGGGGAGGTGGCACATAGAAGGTAAGGTATGCAGAAGACTGCAAAACATTTATTAGCAAAATTGGGCATTTAGCTAATTACTTAGGCCAAAATATATAAAAAGGCCCTAAATAAATGTTTTGTGTTCTGGATTGTTCATTTAATTAATGTTTTCACATAAAACTATTGGGTACAATTCTTGAGTCCAGAACCGGAGTAAAGTGTTGGAACATATTCACACATAGATAACTTTTCCAAGCTTCAAATATCGCAAATAAGCTACAAGACATATCTGTTAAAACACCAGCTGCTATTGTTAGTGATTACCACCAGTCCCAGTGCAACAAATAGTATTACAGGTTAAATGAATTAAAAGTAATTATCAACTTCTGAAAGTTTTAAACTCTCCTGTAGAGATTAAAGGTAGACTCCCACCTCTATAACAACTGAAGTTGTTATGTTGGCAAGAGGGTCTGTGCCCCTTTAGGGGTTAAATTGTTTTTCAGCAGGTTAACCCTGTACAGTAGTTCGTCCACGGTGTCCCAGCTCTGTCTCCACTCTTCTTTGCTCTGACCTCCGCAATGATCATAAAGGTTTGCGGGGAAGCCGGTGACAAGCTGAGGAGCCCATTGACAGTTGTCCAGTGAGTGGAGCATTGAGCATGCTATTGATAAGTTAAATGCATATCTTGGCACACAGAAAATCTACATTTGGCGTAATGTTGTGCATATTTGATTATCACTTTCCATGATCTTTTACAGTTGATAGCAATTTGAAATGGTTCAATGACCTTTTAATAATCCTAAAGCAGGACTGGTCAGTGATTCTAGGTTCTGTTGTTGTAATAACACACCTATTATTCTCAGTCAGCAGCATAGTAGCCTGAGAATAGATCCAGAGTTGTATTCATTATGTAATTTATTAGATTTGATTTCTGAAAGCATTAACATCTCTATAAATTATATTCTGTTTCGTGCTGGATATTCACTGAAATGTGAATTGTTGAGCATTCAAGGTGAATTCAATGCGAGTTTGACATTTAAGGCAACAGTTGTCAAATTGGAAAAATAATCAGTCACTTAAGTTTTTGCTAAGTCTAATTTGACCTCTTTAAAAATTCACTTTTCCAGTCTAGATAATTCACACGTCAGTGGATAAAAACCTGTAAGTGAGTTTTTTCTCCATAGATACTCAAGAGCTATCAAGGTAGTGAACTTAGAAAATAAAATAAAAACATCTAGGAAAATGAGATAAGAAAAAATGGCACTTTGATGGAAACTGAAATAATTACTATATCTGGTGTTAGCAGAATTGTTGTTAAAACTGTATCTCAGGCTTGTGTTAGGCGTAGAATAAGTTCTGAAAAGATGTGATTTGCTGTTGTGGTTTATATTCCGAAGCAATACTTTAGGATGGTACTGCAATTTAGTGATTTCATGGGGAAACAGAAACAGCATTCATTATATGCAGTGTAAATATGTCAGGGTAGCTGTTTATGGGGATGACATTTTCTGTGGCAGCTGCAAGTTGTTTAAAAACAATATTTTTGATGACTTTTGTTAGAAGACTATGTTTGGAATATTTTTGCAAACTGTAAGCATTCTAATTTCGTTATGCTTGCAGTCTAAGAACTGGCTGTGTACCATTTACAGTGTGAGCAAATCTGATCCTGATGCAAACTTGAAAATTAAACCAGACCTGTGGACTAACTCTCATCACCTCAGGCAAGGCGTACATAATTATTCAGCACTTATCCATCGGGTTACTCCAATCCTTCTTAATTAAATAACTTTTTACATTTACAATGCTTTTTTGGGCATTACTAATCACTCCCTCCTTTTGGAAAACCATATTAAGTTGTAAACTTACCTTGAATCTGGACTCCCTGCACTGGTTTCCATACCCCCATCTGACCTCAAACCTCCCTTGCTAGGTCAAATCAAATGCTTCGACCATTCTCACTGGCTAAGATTGCATACGAGGATTTGAACAATGGAGAGAGGAAATATAAAAAAAAATAGTATTAACTATAGCAGGGTGGCAGGGAAGGCTAAAATAAAGAAGAAAAGGATGGAGGGTACGTGCCTTTTAAAAGAATAAATAAAAAATTAATGGGTAGCTACTGGTTGGCTTAGCAGGAGTAGGCAACCTTTGACACTCTCAACTACATCTTCCATAGTGTTGGCAAAGCATCATGTAGTCCACAACATTTGGAGTGCTGAATGTTGTCTACCCTTGGTTTAGAGCAGTGGTTCCCAACCCAGTCCTCAGGTACCCCCTACCACTTCAGGATTTAAGGATTACTCAATTGTATCAAAGGTATTTTTAGAAAAAAGCAATACTTTAGACACAAAAGGGTAATCACTAAATCCTAGACTGGTAGGGGGTACTTGAGGACTGGGCTTGGAACCCCTGGCTTAGAGCAACTGCTCTGCACAGCGGCAGTCCATGCTTCCTCAAACTGATATTCTAAAACTGGATGTGGGAAGAGGAAGGGGTTAAAATCTTACCTTTCTCCAGCGCCGGGCAGGGAGCTCTCTTCCTCCTCTCCTCCTTCATAGCGACGTCATCGGCCGAATGCGCATGCCCGGCAGGAGCCGCACGCACATTCAGCCAGTTCATAGGAAAGTATTTACAATGCTTTCCTATGGACACTGGCGTCTTCTCACTGTGATTTTCACAGTGAGAAGCATTCAAGGGCCTCTAGCGGCTGTCAATGAGACAGGCTCTAGAGGCTGGATTAACCCTATTATAAACACAGCAGTTTTTCTGAAACTGCTATGTTTATAAAAAAAAAAGGGGTTAACCCTAGCTGGACCAGGCACCCAGACCACTTCATTAAGCTGAAGTGGTCTGGGTGCCTATAGTGTCCCTTTAATCTAGCCATGCTTTATACATTTTCCGTTGGCAGTAACTGGAGTGATTGCAGTGACAACTTCCTATAGAAATCATAGCAACTCCCTCTTTAGTTGTGGTGCTGAAAAATTGATAAATGGGTTTGGGGGGGTGGGGTGGGGGGGGCCTATATTTAGATAGTTTATTTATTTGTTATAGATTTTCTACCATTTCTGATAAGAGAATGTAAAAATGGATTTTCTTTTGTAAAATGTTAACATTTTGTGTGTACCACCACAGGCACACTTTAAAGGCTGCATTAGCTAAAACAGATAAATAATAAATAAAAATATTGGGTTTGTAAATGTGACCACTGATAGATCAAGGCTTTAGTTGGAATACTGCACTCAAGGTGTTCATCTGTTTAGACTTAAAGCAGCACTGTCACTTGTGGGAATGTTTGCAAATTTCTAAAGATGTCTTAACATGACCTGTCACTTGCACGGTGGTGGTAAGGGGAAGCATTGTCATAGTTTTGCTGCCATACTTCTTTGGTTTCTAGTGATGTCTGCTGGGAGTCATTGTCATTATTACACTCTCCCGCATATGGGAGTTTATAAAGGATCCCACAATGCCATGAAGTATTAGATAATCTCTTGTATGTGCAATAAAGTACCATATCTATTACGCATCATGCTAGATAAAGCCTGTTCCCATCAGCCGTGGCAAAGATTGCCAGAGATTGGCAAGTATATATGACAAAGAAGTCCTTACTGTGTCTCCTGCAAATCTTGGGTTGGAATTTCAAAGTAATTTCAATACTGTAAAAAAAAATATTTTTTGTCATAAACATTCTGAATTTATGAAAAGCTCAAAAGTGACAGCACTGCTTTAACTTTAATGCCAAATACAAAAGAGGTAATCTCTATCACATTCCATGCCTCCCAGGGCCAGTTTTAAGAGAACCACACCTATAATGTGCAGACAGTATAATTTTATTCACATTGTAACTTTTTTTTTTTTCTTCACTCAATCTTAAACATTACGCTCAAGGTCTGTAATTCACCATGGAGACGGATGTTATGTGAGGCAATTCTATGATCATGTTCACAGCTGTATGCAGGATTATTACGCCGTGATTTCCAGAGGAAAACCTATTGTTTGGTCCAGGCTTGCTGTGTAGGGGTTTGCTTCCACAATGTGCGGGGGGCAAGAGGAAACTGAGAGGTCATTAGACTTGCTAATAACTGATTAGATGTGGCACGAGTGTAATTGCTTAGGAACTTCCTACAGAGTGGCTGTAGTTTTCCATAGTACGTGAAGTAACATTATTGTGCAGCCTGACTTAAAACAACCTGTGCCAGCTTCTAATTTTTGTATTAGCAAAATAAGGATACTGAAAAATTGTGTATCTACATTTTGTTCTCCCTACCATGCATAATGCATAATCCATATTATTTATTCTGTATGTGTCTTAAATCCATCTAGCTGTAATAGTGCAGAATATGTCAGACCGCATGGCCAAAAAAGAATTGCACATCAGTTAAAGTGACTTTTATTACATAATATATGTATAATGTTAGAATATCTGTATATTATAGTGGCACACGTCAGTTTACTACCTTTGAGATCCAGGGATATACAGCTTGAATATTGCACCAATTCTCAAATAAGATAGAAAAAGCAATAAAAAAGCATGCTAGAACCGCAGACTGGTGCATTAGGGTAGTATGGCGTGAGGAATGTGGGGAGTAATGGACTCCTTCAAAAAGAGTTCTAAGCCATATAAAGACAAAGTTACAAAATAAAATGCTGACACAACACAACAACACTATACATTTTACAATGTGTTACTAATCTAATCAATGCAGTGTTTTTAAAATGTATCTACCACTACCTGCTGGTGTTAAAAATATTTATGCTTACTATAGTTGGAGCACTATCTTTAAAGGGACACTATAGTCACCAGAACAACGTCTGGTGAGTAGAATCCTTACCTTCAGGCTTTTTGCTGTAAACACTGTCTTTTCAGAGAAAATGCAGTGTTTACAATACAGCCTAGTGATAACTTCACTGGCCACTCCTCAGATGGCTATTAGAGATCCTTCCTGTGTCATGGCTGCCTAAAATGCATCCAAACATTCAGTGTCTCCATGCTCTGCATGCAGACACTGAACTTTCCTCATAGAGATCCATTGATTCAATTCATCTCTATGAGGAGATGCTGATTGGCCAGGGCTGTGTTTGACTCATGCTGGCTCTGCCCCTGATCTGCCTCTTTGTCAGTCTCAGCCAATCCTAAGGGGAAGCATTGTGATTGGATCAGGCTACCACTTCTGATGATGTCAGCAGACAACTTGTTTGTCTGAGGCAAACAGCATGCAGATCTACAGCTTCAGGCTTGAATACAGTAAGATTTTGCTATATTTATGGAGGCATGAGGGGCTCAGAGGGGCTAGATGGTGGTTTTAACACTATACGGTTAGGAATATATGTTTGTGTTCCTGACCGTATAGTGATCCTTTAAATCGACACTTTAGGGTTAGGAGTACAAACATGTATTTATAACACTAACATGTTCCTCTGCCCCCACAGACCCCTTCCCGGCAGGTGTAAATGGTTAAATAACACTTTATTCACTTCAAGGTCCCTTGGCGCTGGCCTGTGCTCATACTCCTCCAACATCACCCGATGGAGGGAATGTAAAGCACATGTGTGTCAAGCACCTTAGGGGCACTAGGCATTTCCCATAGGAAAGCATTGCCTCAGTGATTTCCTAAGGGGTTTTTACTTGATGCTGAATGTCATCGTGCAGAGCATAAGAGGTCCAGCATCATTTCAGAGAGTCAAACTCCATATGACCCCAGGAAGCGCCTCTACTGGCTGTCTGATAGACAACCACTAGAGGCAGTCTTTATATTGCGACGTAAAAATTTACATTTCTCTAAAACTCCACTGTATTACATTGCAGGACTATGGTGGACCGGGACATTGTGCGCAGACCACTTCAATGAGATGAAGTGGTCTGGGTGCCTGTACTGTCCCTTTAACATTTTGGAGGTATTCATTAGTGAGTTACTTTTTAAAGTGTGAATCCAATATTAGGCCAGAATCAAATTAGCTTTTGTGGCCTAAAATGTAAAAAATATTTGAATTCACATTTTTGTAAATAACTCCGTAAGTCTTGAATTTGGTAGAACTAACAATTGCCCATGCTCTATTCTCACATGCGCGAGAGTACAGCATTCAAATTGGCTCTCGCCAAATGAAACACCAGTAGCTGAAGGGATCTCGCGGAAAAATTGCGGCTGCCATGAGGAACAGATTCAGGTAAGTAAAAACTACCTTCCCCTGCTCCTCACAGCCACTGAAATGCAAATACGGCTTGCCCCTGCTCCTCACAGAACTTTCTCTTTTAGGCTATGTGTGCTGCCTGCGTACAAACTAGCATTCCGAAACAGAATCAATTGCTTTGTATCCCTGAACTTTCTCTTTTAGGCTTCTGTGTGCTGCCTGCGTACCTTCAGTTATTCTTTCGAAACAATCAATACCTATTATGAATATGAAATATGTGACCTCTTTCTGACCCCATAAAATTGTATCAGTCAATACAATTCCATGTGTAATCTGTCAGGGTTTGCATTGCACAGAATTGTACTATAGATGTAGTTTATGCATTTATTTCCATGACAGGTCTGTGTAGAAGTAAATAGAGCAAAGTTGCTATAGGAACCTGGTACTTCAGAGTAGGAGAATATAGTTAATACGTGTGTGTGTTTTTTTTTATTATTATTTTTATTTTATTTTTTTGAATAATGTATTGGTTTAGTCATTTGAAGAAGAATCTCCGTAGGAGACAAAAAAAAAAAAAATAGTCTACTCAACTGCCCAAATATTTTATAAAATACAAAATCTAGAGATTGCTTGCCTTGATAACATAAATACAGAGATACTGTTGAAAATGCATGTGGATAGGACAACACCCACAAATAAGAGAACTACCATAAAAAAAAATTGTAATATGCCAAATCCTAAAGAAAGAAAGAAAGAAAGAAAGAAAGAACGAAAGAGGAACATAACTAAATCATTGTGGGTTTAAACCTATGATCAAAGACAGATTTATTTTAAGCGGATGATCTGTGTCCAGTCAGATATTTCTTAGACAGAAGTGATGAGGACACACAGCGCATGCACAGCAGTCAGTGGGGTCTTCTCATATATATATATATGCATAGGACACACACAGTATTGAGAGCTGACACCCATAGCTGCCATAAAAAATTTCGGAACCCCTCAAAAGTCTAGGCCCCCGGGGCCCATCCCCGAGTCTGCGCACATGTATGCAGTGTGTGTAGAGTGCTTAGTTTGTGTAGTGGATGCAGTGTGTGTGTGTGTGTGTGTGTAGTGGATGTGTTCATGTAGTGGTTGCTGTGTGTAGTGAATGCTGTATGTAGTGGATGCGGTGTGTGTATATATGTGGGGTAGGATATGGACTGCATTCTATGGGCAAATTTTTTATTTTATATATACGTGTGTGTGTGTGTGTGTATATGTATGTGTATATATATATATATATATATATATATATATATATATATATTATAAAATACACACACACAGACAGACACAAACACACTCAGAAACACAGTCAGACACACACACACACACAGTCAGACACAAAACACACACACACACACACACACACAGTCAGACACAAAACAGACACACACACAGTCAGACACAAAAACACACACACACACACACACAGTCAGACACAAAACACACATACACACACACAGTCACACACACACACAAACACACACAGTCAGACACACACACACACAGTCAGACACACACACACACTCACAGTCAGACACAAACATACACACATACACACAGTCAGACACACACACACACACAGTCAGACACAGTAAGACACACACACAGTCAGACACAGTAAGACACACACACACACAGTCACACACAAACACACACACAGTCACACACAAACACACACAGTCAGGCACACACAAACACACACACAGTCAGGCACACACACACAAACATACAGTCAGACACACACACACACAGTCACTCACATTAACACTTTTTTAATTTTATTTAACCCCCCCTCCCCAGCCTCCTTACCTCTCTCTCTCCCTGGTGGTCCAGTGGCTGCCAGTCGGGCTGATGGGCTGGCTGCTGGGCGGGCGGCTGGCGAGGGAGCTCTTCCGCTGAGCTGACTGCTCAGCTCCCTCGCGCACCGCAGAGTGAGGCTGGGAGCCGGAATATGACGTCATCAACCCGGCTCCCAGCCTCACTCTGCGGCGCGCGAGGGATTTGAGCAGACCGCTCAGAGGAAGAGCTCCCTCACCAGCCGCCCGCCCGCCCAGCCCAGCATGTCTGTTAGCCGCGAGGCTAACTAGGCATTTGCCCTGGGCATTTGGGGGCGGCGTTTCTTGCCGCCCCCTGGAAAATGCCGCCCAAGGCAAATGCCTATCTTGCCTTGCGGCTAATACGTCCCTGTCTGTGCCCCAAACTCAGACTGTCACTTTATTTATTTATTTATTTATTTATTTATTTATAAAATATTTTACCAGAATGGACACATTGAGATTTCTCTGGTTTTCAAGTATGTCCTGGGTCCACAAAACACTGCATTGTTACAATGGGATACAATATCACTAAAATACAATATACAAACTATATATATATGTGTATGTATATATATATGTATGTATGTGTGTATGTGTGTGTGTATATATACACACACACACATATAAATTTAATACATAACAGGTAATAAATATATTCAACCATGACAGGTGCATTCTATGCTGAGGTATATTACCATAGATCTCTTAAAAGATTTTAGCTTGAATGAAGATTTGACTGTGTCCCTGAGGTTATTCCATAATTGCGGTGCTCTGTAGGAAAAGGAGGATCAAGACACTTTATTTTTGTATTGCGGTATGCAAAATATCATGCTAGTACTGGATCGGGGGTTATAGGAGGTGGGAACAGCCAGGGAGAGCATTCTACTCCAGGTAGGGTGGGAGCTTCCCAGAAATGCTCTTATGCACAAGGCTGGAAAGATGAAGAGTGCGTTGGGATTCCAGCGACAGCTAGTTTTGCTCTTTTAACATGTCACAGTGGTGGGTAAAGTAATTACATTCTAGTACAAAGCGGCAGAACGAATTATATAACGTATTAAGTTTATTAAGGTGGGTTTGCGGTGCGGGTGCATACACTACATCTCCATAATCAATGACCAATCAATTAGCATTTGTTGCATTATCTGTTTCCTTTCTGTAGGGCGTAGGCAGGTTTTGTATCTGTACAGGGCAACTAGTTTTGAGAAAAGTTTTGAAGAGATGTTTTCAATGTGAAGGCCAAAAGGTCTAGATATTTAAAAGAACAGACTGCTGTCAGTGTGCTATTTGAATTTGTTCTGATACAAATTGTTGATTTTGTAGTTTACGTCATTTAGGTACAGTTCCAAAGATCATTTTAACTGCTTTGTCAGTGTTTAGGAAGAGTTTGTTATCCGCTATCCACCTTTCTACCTCTGTGAATTGGTTTTGGAGCACAGCCTCAAGCTGCAGTAGATTGGGTTTACTAGCATAGAGTACAGTGTCCTCTGCATACATGTTTACAGGTGAGGATTTGCAGACGTCAGGCAGATCATTTATAAAAAATGTGAATAGCAGGGGGCCGAGTATGGAGCCTTTGGGAACACCACACATGACTGGAAGAGGGAGGGAAGCTCTATTAGAAATGGCCACATATTACAATCAGTCTGAAACATATGATCGAAACCAGGTTTGCGGACGGTCACCAATGCTTGAATTTTTACATTTTTGCAAAAGAATACCATGGTCTACTGTGTCAATGCCTTGGGAAAAATCAAGCAAAATGGCTACAGCTAAGTCTCCTTGTTCCATGCCAATTTGGATGTCATTGCAAACTTTTAAGGGGGCAGTCGAAGTTGAGTGATTTGGATGAAAGCCTGATTCATCATGGGTCAGATAATTTGATTGTTGATAATATTCACATATATTGTATATAGTGCACGTGGATGCATTTTTCCAAGATTTTTGACAATACAGGGAGCAATGATATCCGGCGATATTTAGATACCAAAGTATTGTCACCACTTTTATGGATAGGTACAACTTTTGCAGTCTTCCAAAGTTTGGGTATGTATCCTGACACCAGGGATTCATTGATAAGGGTAGTGACCGGTTTAGCAATTGCTGGTGCACTGAACTTCAGCAACATTGCTGGGATTTGATCTGGTCCACACTGGTTTCTCATTTTTTAATTATTAAGATGTTTATTAACGACACTAACAGGCACAGGTCTAAAATTGAATTTCTCTATATGAGGATTTTGAAGATTTGGCAGGGTCTGATCTTTATTTGCGGTCTGCAAATGAGTGTAATTTGTTATTTTAGCAATCCGGATGGTAGCACATCTAACAGTATAATTATTAAAGGCATTTGCTACATCTAGGGGGTGTTGCAGTGTTTGGTTTTACATTTTGACAGTGGAGGGTTGGGAGTGGATTGTGGGGGTTTGTATGCTATTTATCACTTTCCAGAAGTTTCTTGAGATCTTGGGAGGGGATTTAGTGGCCTTTATTTTGCGTATGCAGCACATTAGACAGTGGTCACTGAAACTGTTGGGGAGAACGCCCGCCTCCTGGATTCTGTTAGGACAACTGGAGAGAATCCAATCTAGCAAGGTATGGTTCTGGCTTTTAATATTAATGCGAATTGGCGAAGAAATTTATTGTGTTAGCTGCAAAGTCTTAAACAGTGTACATGATTTATTAATTTTAGGATTCAGCCAATCAATATTAAAATTTCCAAAAACCAACAGTTCACTTTCTTGAGCTACAGTTTCACTTAGTAGTTGGGCTATGTCAGAAAGGGAGTGCACCGGAGAGCTAGGTGGGCTGTAGATTCCAGCAACAATGATAGTTTTAATGAAAGGCTCATCATTCCTTTTCACCCACCTCTTTTTATTTATTTTTTTTGTGTGTGTGATGCACCTGTGATATACTATACTGACAGTACAATTGAGTGTGTGGAATTTTGAACTTCATGCTTCTAGATTTATATCAAGTGTCTTACTTTTTTTCACCATTTGAAAGCTTTTGCCTTGTATGTTTAACTGACAAACTCTGGCTTATTTTAAATATTATTTTGGCAGTGTGACCGTATTATCAGAGTTTAACTATGTGGGGGGCCTCAGGATAAAAAGTTTTAGAATAAGTAAAGATGCCAAGTACAGAGAATCTCCAAATACTTTAAAGCAGCAGTTTTTTTGGAACTATTAAATGGTTTCCACTCTGATTTAGCCAGTAGATAAAGACGTACAATTTCTTACATTCACAGTGCTTTTTGTGCTAGCTAGTTAAAATGACTTCAGCATATCCTTTTTAATAATGTCAACAAAACACACACCTGTTAGAACTGAGCACCTCTAGTCTGGCTACCAGCTACCACAGCCACCAAGAATCTCCCCTATAAACCTTTAAAACCGTAAGAAGCAATATTAGTAAAGTAGGTGCTATTAAATATGTGCAAAGACCGTAAATTCCTTGAATAAAACCGGAGTCCTCTTTACGCAGCTGTATCCATCAACATCTATTAACTCAAATAAAATCTTCAAAGCTAAAAGTAAAGCACAAAAGAGAGGAGCCTCTGCATGGTGAATTACCTTTAATATAACGAAAATTCATTAAATGCACTCATACAAAGTTGGTGCCGAAAAAAGCACTGATATAATAGTTGTCAGGCCTATCCAAAGTGTCCGTAGACCAAAACGCCAGTGTTTCCCCTTGGAATTTAGCTGGCTGTCTCCTTTACATTCCTAAAGCTGTTATGTTTGCTCCTCTTCAAAACACTACAGTGATTATGGTCCACCATTTATCTTGGCCCAACCATGACATCTTCACCACTAAGGAGACATCTTTGCAATGCAGTCTTTAACGAATTTCTTGGCCTTGTAATTTTACCATGGTAAGACTGAACTGTACAATCAGTGGAGGCAGCCCGGCAATGGGATGCAAGACCAACTAATGGTGAAATAATCAGAAATTCTAAATGATTTCAATATGAATTTCAAATTTAAGGCTAAAATAGCTGAACTGGAAAAATTATCCCAGTCAATTATGATTCCTTTCCAGCTACTTTGGCCTTAATGTGAAATTCACTTTAAAATCACTATAATTCTCATTTAATGAATAACCTATACCCGTGTTCCCAGAGCCATATTGAAGCTCCTTGCACCATGCTCCCTGTAACACAAGAACCCCCTGGCTCTTTTAAATCATTATCCATATTACCAACATCCACTCCCAATTCTGTCTTTCTCAGCCAGAACACTGTTCCAAAAGTAGGTCCAAATGTTTCTGTAATAATGAGACCAGGAAATGATACGACATGCCACCAATATCGCTAGGACTAATACTTGTGTATCCTGAGAGTAATGTCAAGGCAAAAATCCTTTGCATATACATTAATAACATTATACAGCTGTGCCTTCCTTTCTGAAATGCTTGTTCTGAGAAAAGGAGCAGAGAGCTACAGACTGATAGTCTGTACTTTTTGAAATAAACCTATTAATAGCCAGTGGAAGACGTCAAGGCTTGACCAATTTCACAGGTTGGTAGAAGGATTGATAAAACTTAGCTTGCATACTGAGAAAACTCTGAATAGTCTTGAGGAGCTCTGTACTCTTTCTACCTTTTGGGTTAAAACACTCTTTAAATTGTCTCTATCACCCCTCCTCCCCCTCAAAAAAACAACCCTAGGATCTGAAGAAAGAAGATAGTAGCACCCATAAGGTATAGTATCAGGTAAATTTAACTGCACTGCAATGTCACCATCATGGGTCTTTGTAAACTACGCAAAGACCCCAGAAGGTGACAGAGCTGCTTTAAGTGTCTGGTTTAGAAACAGAACACCCTTCTCATTTAATGGCTTTATAGCTCTGACAGTATTCAATAAGCATATCATGCTGCCACTTTTATTTTTACATGGCACATTGTGATGACACAAAAGAATATAGTTGGTACTTTTTGGGGTAGGATTACTTTCCTGTGCTGCACACCCCACCTCTTCAAATGCTACAGTAACACATGTTGATGGTCTCAGCCTATCCCTGGCTGCCCTCCTAAACAGTCCTCACACTGCAGAGGCAAAGCAGAAGGAAGATAGGGGGCAGCAGTGTTCCCAAATCCCAAACACTGCTGGTAGTGTTCCTTTTAACCACTATTTTATTATAAATTTAACTAAAATGTTTCACTTTAATTTTTCCATCTGGTTGACTTCCTTAAATGAAAGTTATTTACCCTGAAGTTATATTTAGAAAATCTTAGAAATAGTACTGATGTGAAAAATACTGATTTATGAACCAGCTGACACAGAAAGAATTTTGACATGTACAAAGGCACAGACGGTAATGCAATCCAACTTTGCAGCTGATTCACTTTATGGATTTACTTTATGCTATTCACTTGATATTTACAGTATTTACCAATTGGAATTATAAAGGAAAAATAAAACATACTCCAGACCAACAATCTACCCACCTGGACACTGGTTAGCTGAGAGATAGATGCTCAGCTAAGGAATTACTTGGTAACTTGAACCCTGACCGTAAATAAAAATTGCGAAGTCCCCCTCTGTGTGCATGTACTCATAGTAGGCATAGTGTAAAAAAATACAGTAAAATGCAATCGACGTATATGCAGAACTGTCTGAAGGGTGCATAGCATGACTTTTCTTTGGTCTCAACACATCTGTAGTTGGTTAGCAAAATAAGTAGGTCCTCCTGGGGCCCACACTAACCAAGACACAAGACGCATAGTAAGAACTAATCTATCACTTTGGGGTGAGTAATTCCTCGATTTAATCTTTTTGAGAAGCTTTTCAAATGATTTAATATTTTTGGACACACTTCTAAAATGATTTAATATTTAGAAAAATAATTTTAAATTTTTTTATATTAATGATGTATTTTTTTGTGTTTGTAAATCAGGCTTTATTTAAGTTTATTCTAGATATTAGAGATCATACAGCAGTGAAGTAACAAGCATGTAGTATTGCAAGTCTGAACAGTAAGAATCAACATAGCATACGCGGAGTGCACGCAATGAACCCTCAGGTGTTCACATAACCATATTATGATTATATTTTATTATATATGTTTATGTTTTCAAAAAATCTTTTTACAAGTTTGTGGGGGAGACCTAATGCGCACGCCGCATTAGACCTCCCCATAGGAAAGCATTATTAATATTAAAGATAACGGACCAAAAGTCCGTTTGGATTCCGGAAGCGCCCCCTGTGGCTGTCTGGTAGACAGCCACTGAGGGCAGACTTAGAGCTGCAATGTAAACACTAGGTGCAAAAGGGACACAGCACCCAGACCACTTCAATGAGCTGAAGTGGTCTGGGTGCCTACCTTGTCCCTTTAAGGGGACAGGATCACTGTATCCAGACCCCTTATATTAGCAGAAGTTGTCTGGATGCCTTTAGTATCTCATCTCACACTCAGAAGAACAGCGATTGTGATGCTCTGCATCTAACATCCTGCAGTAATTCCAAGGTACTGACTGAAGCTTGGAAGATACTTCACCTCATTTATTCTTACGTTGCTACTATATTTTCATGTGTTACTAGAGAATTGTTTCCAGTTACACCTGTAGTTTGCCACTGTAATTTTCTGTGCATGCAATTTTATCATTGGCATTTAATGTTTCTGACCAATATTTCATGTACACAGCTATTATTAATATTTTGGGTGATAGAATTTGGTTGCTAAACTTTTCAACACATTGCTACTCTACTCCTCCCCTCCCCTCCTCTCCCCTCACTTCCCCTTGCTCTTCCTGGCTGTAAATACCTTCATATAACTGTTCTATCTCCATCTCTGTTCTTCAGGCCTCATCTCACACTCATACTCACTCACTCACACTCTGCATTTATAATAATAATAAAAAATAAAAAAAATTCTCGCCCACCCAGGTTCCCCACTAAATATATAGCATGCTCCTCCAGCTGTTTGAGATTCTCACCCAATTACCTCTTCATTCCAGCAGTTTGAGATTCTCACCCAATTACCTCTTCATTCCAGCAGTTTGAGATTCTCACTCAATTACCTCTTCATTCCAGCAGTTTGAGATTCTCACCCAATTACCTCTTGATTCCAGCTGTTTGAGATTCTCACCCAATTACCTCTTCATTCCCTTTGTATTTTACCAATAGCTGCTTTTCTCTGTTAACTCTTTCAGCCATCACCTCCAAACTTCCCCTGCTTCCTTTTGTCTCAAAATCCCCATGGTATCCTTTAGATTGTAAGCTCATGGGCTATCTAGCTAAGCACTTTGTATAAAAGAGCTCCAGTGGCTAGATATCAGCTTACGGGCAGGGCTCTCTCTACCTCTTGTGTTTGTCTGTGTATATTGTACGTTCTCCACTAATTGTACAGCGGTGCAGAATCTGTTGGCGCTTTATAAATAGCAGTAATAAATAGATAAAATAAATTTAGTAGATGGCTGTTTCTCTTAATCCCCTAATAATTAAGAGTGAATCATAGGCTACCTGTTGCCACCTTATTCCATGTGAGGTTGGGAAAGGATTAATATAAAAGTAGCTATAAATTCAGATATGAGGGCAGGCTAAATGATAAAAAATTTTTTTTTTATAAAGTTAGGCTAGCAAGGCAACATGCAAAAGTCATAAAGTTAAAGCATCTGCCTATAAGAGAGCAAAAAAGCCTACCCCCAATATTTCACCATAATGCCTTTCTCAAAGGACCAGTGGGGTACATCTAACTTTGGCCATGATTTAGTGTAGAATGTCATCTTTTGGTGATGGCTAACTTCTTACACTACATTTATGGTGGATTGCAATTTATTTTGATGCTCAACGAGCCCTTGTGGGTCTTAAAGCTAAATGAGTGAGATTTTGTTTTGGGTTTTTTCCACCCTCTTAGTGTTGAGTAACATATTTTCTGCTCCTTCTGCATTAGTCATGTACATGCAAGTTTTTTTTCTAGCAGCGTACAGTTTAGGATTTCTTGGCAGGAAAAGCTGACACACATCATGTGCCAGATTAAATAAAATCCTCTTCCCAGAGCGTCTCAAAGCTTGAAGCATGGCGACTCACACAGGTGACTCTCTGCTGAGTGCATGAAATTCATCCCCTGCAGTATGTAGATGTGGCTGTAATTAGACCCATCTCACTGTTCATTCTCTGTCTGCCTCTCCCAGTGAAAGCTGGGGCCAGGAAGAGTGATACAGCTTAAATCCCACCCGCCAATTTACATTGGTAATGGGTACATACACAGAAGCTGCTGTTATGGTAATCAAGGCACAAATCTGGAGCAATTGCTTGGCTTTGCTGGAGCAGAAAGAGTTAAACCTCTAACTATATTTATGAAATCTGCTTTTTCACTAATTGGCGTAATTCTATACAGGACTGGTAATTTCCCGCAAACCATTAGTCTATGACATGTAAAATAGTTTCTGTTTTATGTGTATTTAAGATTGTATGGTCTAGTGGTTTCCCCTGCATGTCTGTCTGGTCATTTTTAACCCATTTGGCAAGGGGGAGAAAAAAATAAGCTCAGAGTTCAGATTCCGCGTTTCAGTGATTTAAAAATCCAAAATAACTATATCTGCATTCTGTCATTTAGTTGGCCTTGCTGGCAAGTAAGCCTTATTGATATTTACCAGGCCGCAATGAGCAATACACCTTCAGAACAAACTACGAATTTACATATTGCCATTGTATTTCATATAAGGAATTTGCTGAGTACCATATGTGGTCTGCTTCTACTAAATGAAAAAGGGTTATTCCTGTGCATTTGTTTGAAGCTTATCAAAGGAATACTCCCAAGCGTGCTGTAGTAGTTATAGTGCCAGGATTGTGCTGGTGCCCCCTATTGTAAGTAAACCATTTTTAGAAGGGTTTGACGTCTTACCTGCTATCCACCAGGCATCGCTTCTCACATACACTGCATTTGACAAAGGCGCAAGCTCTGTCTCTCGTCTAAGCCCGTCAATCAGCTGACGCCCTCAGCCAATGATCTAGCACTGCACTGCAGAGTTTAGCTCATGGGCACTAATGGAAGCCCCAAAGGAAGAGCTTCTTGCTCTGTGTGATGTAGTGAAGGTGGGGAAGGTGGCGGCAAACAAAAGGGAAGAAGATAAACTGTTTTAAAACAATGGGGTGAGAGGGCCGGGTAAAGCTGTTGTGGTTATGGTGCTTGGAGCGTTCCTTTCAAGAGGCTTTGGTGAACTAGATAAGCTAGTCTGTGAGAAACAGTATTCCATCTGGAAAGGTCCGGACAGCTTCTAGACTAGAGCGTGCTTGCACAGTAAGAACAGAGTCTGAAACTGATAGAATTATTTGATTAATTCATTGCGGCAATTGTTGCATGTGCGCATTAAGTCTGCAGTACTTGCAGGTAAATACAAGGTTAATTCAAGTGTATTTGTATCAAAAAACGGGGCCCTTAAATCTAAATAGTCCAACTAACAATAGGGGTGACATTTAAATATCAATATTGTTCCTTTAACTTTGCATCTCTCTGAGCAGTGACCTAAGGATTTCCTGTCCAGTAAGAAATCAGTAAGGAAGTGCATAGTCTTAATTGTAAATGCATTGTGTTCTTAGGTTGGTTGGGGCACCACTTTATGATAACTGTTATCAAAGCACTATAAAATAGAAATGCTGTAAATATTTGATCCAGACACGTGCATATTTTTTTTAAAGCAGGGCGTTTACAGTGTTTCCTTGCAGATTCTCCCCTAAGGGAAGTTCTGATTATAGGAATAATATATTAAATGTGTAATTAACCACTTAACTAGACGCGCTGTGTAATCTAGGTGAGCCTGGTGAAATGTGTCTGTTGGCAGTGGATTTTCTTGAGTGTATTTGTTGTGTATTTCCGAAAAGCCTGTCAATGAGCGAATTTTTTTTTTAGTTAGATTTATTAGCTTTAATGGGCAAATTTTTTTATTTTTGAGTTAGATATTTTAGCTTTAATTGTTCCTTTTCATTTCTGAATTCTGGTTTAAAACAGTATTTGTAAATTTTACATAAATACTTGGAACTTGCCTTGTTCGGTTGTGTTATGGAAACTGCCATGGATACAATTGGTGATATTTATCAAAGTGTATGTTGCTTCTAATACCCTAACATTGTTTTTTAAATGTACGCGTTTTTTTTCAGAGACACAAAAGACTTATTTATTTTTCTTCCACTTTTTCTAACAGAATAGGGTCCTGTCTCCTTTTTCTCTCTCTCTTTTTATTTTTTTCCATAAAGTCCGAATATGGTGGTCTTCTGAAATGGATATTTATGTGAAAACTGGAATTTGTGGAGAAAGCTGGCATTTTTTAGATCACTCTTAAAACACTTTACCATTTAAGGACCCTGTGACAGTCTATGCCGTCATGCAGTGCAGGATTTTCAAGCCTGTTGATGGCACAGACCGTTGTGCTAAAAGTGTCAGCAGGGCTAAATCCCTGCTGGTTCCAGGGAGCACCAGGTATTATTGTATTCACAACAAGCACCATAATCATTTTTACACTCTGTAGTGATTGTGGTGCTTGAAGTATCCTTGCGCTCCCAAATTGAAGTAGTCAAATGGTTTTGCTAAAGCTTTTACAACTTACCTAGAGGTCTGCTGGGTGCCATTCTCAGCCTCATTGAGAGCTGGAAGCTCTCTTCTTTCAGGCCGATGCAGCAATGCAGGACTTAGCTCAATGGTTAAGATTAAGTTGAGGCTGAGCCAATGACCTCAGGGTTTAGCTCAGGAGTGCTAATGGATGCTCCGTGTGGGAGACTCTAGCTGTCTATGAAAGAAGTGGTCCCTAGGTAAGCTGTCCAACTATTAGGCAATTATGTGACTACTTTGACTCTGTTGCTTAGCTGGAACCTAAGGAGACTCAAGGAGAAATTACCTGGTACACAGGAACCTGCAGAGTCCTTCTTTCCTTACTTACTTGGGATTTTAGCTGAAACTACACAGATTTTGACATAACATGGATAACTGCCACTTGCTACGGATTTCAGCTGTGCCCTGGAACTCTCTGTATACATTGAACTCTGCGTGGGCCAAGCCGATAAGCACCCTGCCGACTAAAATTACTATGGCCAGCGTTGGGACTTGGCTTTTCTTTTGTAAATATCCTATTTTTATTTGCTAATTATCATCAGAGCAGAAACAAACACAATGAGATTTGGATTAGTGAAACTGCTTAATTTGTTCATATTGATTCTTTGCCAATGTTGTCCAGCTCCAGTTATTCCCTATGTGCCTACTTAGATGCAGTATCTATGGAACACTAGAAAGAGAATGGGGCAGGAAGTCTGACTGGTTCAGGAATAGTTTAGCTGTTGTATAGAATGTGCCTGATCTTGGGTATTAAGTGCTGTACTAAAAAGATACAGACTGATACCTGCCCCAGAATAAAAAAAACAAACAACAGTTGGGTGTTTTTGTTTTTCTTAATAAAAAAAAGAAAATTTTGAAAACACATGGTTTGCAGTTGTGATCTGGTTTCAGATAAGCTTTTATGGACACATTATTTAGCTGTTATCAGTGTACTAATATTAGAAAATAAAAAAAGATTGTGTACCAAAATTAGAAAAGGAGAAATTAGAGATAAAAATTACAATTATTTATAAATCCAATAAAATAGCTTAAAGAAACACTCTACACTGTAGTGGTTAAGGTGCAAGGAGTGCCCTGGCACTATCCCAGTCAAAATGTTTTAGCAGGGTTTGACAACTCAATGCTTGCTCCCCATCGGAGGCATTTGGTGTCCTCGAGCAGGAGAAGCTCAGTCAGTGGAGGGCTGTGCTCATTGTATTAGAGTAGAGTACTAAGCTGATACTCTCAATGAGCATGGTTGTTTTTTGCTGTAGATAAGACCAGATGCAAATGATGCAGTGCAATGCCCGGCAGAACCCAGGTAGATTTTAAAACTGTGCTAAAGTAGTTTAACACAGGATGCTGCTATGTCCCATTTAGCCTGATAAGCATTAAAGTGAGCTGTCTTGGTTATGGTGCTTGGAGTTTATGATCATGTTTGGTGCATGAAAATAAATATTTCTTCCAGTGTGTTCATGCTGATCCTTGTCTCACAAGTCAAGATGTAAATGTCTTGCCTCTAACTATTTGGCAGACTGAATCAGGACAGTCAAGTTATACTCTAGGCACCAATATAACATAAGCGCGTTTGACAGATTTGGGCCTCATAGTTATGTTGAGGTATTCTTCACAGTCAAATGTTGTTGTTGTTGTTGTTGTTGCTAAAAATAAAAAAATAAATACATAGCATCTTTCTGCAGCATAATTCCATTACTTTAGCCGTGCTCTCTGTTTTCACAAAATCACTTCAATATTAGATTTATTCTGCATGCCGCCCAACGGTCCCACTTTCCAGATTTTTACCCTAGGTCATGACATTCGAGGACACCAGGAAGCTGTCCCAAACAATCATAGTGCAAGCGCCATATAAGACACTCACGCTATGGTCAGTGCACTAGCACCCTGCTGAGAGCACTCAAACATTGACTTTACTTTGTAATTCAATCCAGATAATAAGGACAGTGATTAGCCCTTGGGGCGGAATCAAGCTAGCAGCTCAGTTCATACTGGTCTCTTGTTGGCTGAACTACACGGCTTACCTTCCAATCAGGTGGACAATTTGTGAAAAGGGGAGAGATGACAAAACGTTTTTTGTTTTTGTTTTTTATAGCAAAAATTAAAGATTCAAACTGGGAGAAAATGTACAGCAAAAAAACTGTCAAATGCACTAAAAGGAACATTATAGTGTCAGGAATACAAACGTATATTCCTGGCACTATAATCTTGAAGTGGCTCTTTAGGATACCGATACCGATTTTTACTTTTCTTTTCTCCATCACCGCGCCAGCCTCGCTGTGGTTCGTCCTGCCTTCATGACTAATATCATCGATCTTGATGATCTCAGCCAATTCAGTGCTTTCCCAAAGGAAAGCATTGGGAGGCTATTGCGTGCAAAAGGCTGCGCTGCGCCATTCAGCATTTCCTCATAGATATCCGTTGAATCAATCTATCCCTATGGGGAACGTTCAGCGTCTCCATGCAGAGCATGGACACACTGAACACCAGTGCTGCACACTGTAGAACTGACCCAGGAAGCACCTCCAGTGGCCGTCTGAGTTACTGCAACTAGAGGTGTTACTAGGCAGTAATGTAAACACTGCCTTTTCTCTGAAAAGGCACTGTGTGGGTTTTTTTTTTTTGTTTTTTTTAAAGAGGCAGTGTTTACAGTGCTAACATTGTATGGACAGGCTATAGACACCAGAACCACTACATTAAGCTGGACTACAGTGTTCAATTAAGTTATGTTGATGTCCAGAGTGTTCCTAAAGCATTGAATGGACACTACTTGCTCTAAAATGTGTATTAACATATATTAAAATAATTTACCTGGCTTAGTAGGTTATCCATGGTCTTCCAGATTCCTTTCCAAGGAATCACAGTTTTACTAGTCATACATATGCAATTTAGGTTGAAGTACAGCACATTTGCCAATCCTACCAAGGATCCACATTCACTGAAGTTTAAATACCCATCTTTTTTTGACTCTGTGAGTACCTGGAGCTGCAGAAGAGGAGAGCTAAGGACTATGGAGTAGCTGGAGGAACTATGTAGATGTTCTATTTTGTGATTACAAATGTTCCTAGTGCTTTAGAATCATCCTTAATCTTCTCGTGAAGCCTAAAAAGCAGAGGAACAATTGTTAAATTTGTTACGTTCTTTGGTGACACATGGCAAGTTCACTTAACATGCAGTGTCCACTCAGTGGAAAGACAAGAAGTTCTTCAGCCAGCCAAGGGCTGTCCATTCTGCAGAACCAATCTCACTTGGGCTGAAATGGCATTTTGCAGCTCCATTCAGGTTTAATTGTGTGCTTATTCTGTTGTTCTTTGCAGACTTTTGGATGGATGGACCCAGTTCTTGGTTATTGGTGGATTGTACAAGGTGGAGATGTGCGGAGGGGTAAATGTGTTTTTTTGGTTTTTTTTGCGATTTGATGTAAGTAGTTGTTCAGTTATTTTGAAGAGCATCTAATTGGAATGTACATTGTTGTTTCTCTGAATGATGTGTGACTATCTTTTAGCTGTGTGCAACGTGAAAATATACTATAAATATACTGTACATCATTTATTTCAATATTATATCTTTGTAAAGTAACTCTGAATGAATGGCAGACAACAGTGCAGTAAGAAAACAACAGTTGGATACTTACTTATACATTTAACATGCAGCATGTACAGTAGAGTAGGCAGACTATTTTGTTTTAGGAGAAAAAACTTTTTGGGTTGTCTTGTACCAAGCTAGGGAGATGAAAGCAGTAGTAACTTATTTTAAATTGTATTGCCAGTTTAAAGGCCATCTGCACTTTGATCATGGTTTATGGGCTCAAAAACCAGCCTGTAAGAATCTTCAAGTGTTGTACTGAAAGCATTATTATATTTGTGAATAAAATGAATACAAAATGAGCTTGAATCACGTCTTGGGTGTTTGATTTAAATGTACTTGATTGAAGCATTGATTGAAATCATGATTTAAATATATTTTATAAAAATCTGTATATATAATATCATGTTTTGTGTATCATATTTGTTCTCTTCTCAAGATGGATAATCCAGGTTTAGAGTAATGAGATTAACACTCCACAGCATATGAGGGCAGATACATTATAATCCAAACCTTAACTGAACCTGCCCCCTAACCTTAACCTAGCAGCATCATTACAATTATTTATCTCAAAGAAGTGGTGTGGGTGCAGTGGTTCTGGCCCTTTCGCTTTGCAATGTAATACAATGCTGTGTTTTTAGAAACTGCAATGTATATATTGCAGGATTATATCCACCTCTTGTGGCTATCATATGGGCAGCCGCTAGTGGTGCTTCCGCTGCACTGAAAGGTAATGCAGAATCCCATAGGAAAACATTGAATAGAATGCTTTCCTGAGGGGAAGATTGAATGTGCGCTCGGCAATCTGTGAGGACCATTGAATTGGACCATCGCTCAGGAGGCCAGGATTCTTATTCAACTGATTGGAAAAAAGACTTGAGTGGGCAAAACACTGGACAGAGTTTCACTCAGTTATGGAGGAGGAAGTGCCTCTAGTGGCTGTCAGGAAAGATGCCATTAGGGATATAGTTAACTCTGCAATGTAAACTTTACAGTTTCTAAATGGTGCAGTCTTTTACATTGCAGGGTTAAAGTGAGAAGACCACTGCACCCAGACATTTACATTGAAATGAACTAGTCTGGGTGACTTTAATGGTCCTTTAATAGCTGTGCAATGCCACTATGTTTCTAACAATATTGCAAAATTTCAGCATTACTCTAAAGACATTGGCATTTATTATACCTTTTTTAAATGTCTACAAACCATTGTAACCCCCCTCCCCTCCCCCCCCCCTAGAAACCTGCAAGATTACAAATACAAATTAGGTCATATACTGTAAGGGAGAAATGCAGATCACCATTGTGCTACCATCAGTACCATTGAGGTAGATAGAAAGAGATCTGACATGGGTGCATTTTACTTAAAAAGAGAGAGGCTTAATCCAAGATTAAACCCTGGAACACAATCATAGGACTGGAGTCAAAGTGAAAATAAGTTAGATCTGTAGTTTGCTTCCCCTCAGCCCCCTTTCTTGGGTGAACTGTAATGATATGTTTATGTGATAATTGTCAGAAAGTAGTCATTTATTTTGAGCTCTTGTGATGATATTGCTTACATAAAGCCCATTTATGGTTATACCATTGTACGGTTAGAACTACATATTTCAATAGAATGTTAATAATGTGGAATAACAACGAATCTACAGGGAAAAAGAAAGTCTAAAATGTAACCATGGCATATGGTTAAAAAATAAATGGAAGTTTTCAAATTTTTATATTTTTATGTAATTGTAATAGTTTAGCTTTCTAGTCTTTTACTCACACTGCCTAATGTCCAGGTTCCCAGAGTTTATCATGTATTATTCCCGGTATTTCAGTCCTTTTCTCAATCAACGCTAACAAATTCTGTAATCTGGAGAACCACTTCCATGATCGTTGGATGCAAACGGGCACAGCACTTCAAGGGTTAAATTCGGGAGCTTTATTCATTCCACCTTCCAGTAAAGTGGACACTTCCATCCACACTTTCTCATGTGTGAACTGTGTGGAACAGGATATAACAATCCTTTTTCTGACTGAGAGTGATGACAGTTGCAATCTACATCATCTCTATAAGATAACTAAAACAAGAAAGAGCACCTGGAAATACATTCAAAATAAATAATATAAATGCCTAGCACTAACAGGACTAACAAATTTATAATAAAATCCCACCTTGTAGTTGCAATTAGGAGAGTCGTATAGTTGTCCCATAGATATCATAATGGTAAAATCTTTGCAAAATGCAGTAACGTTTCATAGTGTAACAAATCAGTGTATTCACATTTTATATTTATTGTCAAAAATGTTTTTTAAAATCCTTAAAGGAAATTTCCAATAAAAAAAATATTCTATATTTTACCCCCAATAAAAACATGCATGCTTTTAAATATTTTATTTTTCCCATTTGGGGTATATCTAAAACCAGCTTGCAAGTAGACAAAACCATCCCCTTCTAACCCGGCCCATACTTTCTGTGACTGTCTAATCACAGACCAATGCATCTCAATGAGTAGTCTTTGCAAGGCGGGTGCTCTGGGCAATTGCTTCCACTTGAGTTTAGCTCATCGGAGCTGAACAACCAATCTAATTTGAAACCTACAGGTTTTGTAAGACGAAAAATAAAGAGGGCATACTCGTTACGCATAAAGCATGTCAGCAGGCTAAGAAGATATGGGAGATTAACTGCCAGTATACTGAACGGTTACCTCAAATACCTTGTATGATGCGCATTTTATCAACCTGTTACAATTTTGCACCTATGCTTAGTTCAGTGAAGTCTCCTGTGAATTGCAGTGTTGCCTAACGTAACTGTGCAAAACTCACACAGCACTAGCATATTGTTCATGCAGAAATCAGCATACCTCTACTTACCAAGCTGCTTAAAGCCCTGCCAAATGTAATGTACAAATTCGATATATCCATCTACCGTAGTAATTAAAATGTAATACTTGGTGGCGAGTGTATTAACTGTTCTTTATGATTCTGTGCTAATCAAAGGTAAAGCAGAATGCAGCATGACAGGCGTGTGCGGATTATGAAAAGGGACTCGGTTTTTATCAGTTTGAACTTCAGGGTATTTTTCAAGGTCAGCCTGCAGTTTCCTGTCCTCCTGTTCTTGCTATTTGATTAGAGTGAGTTAGCCCAAGGTCAGGTACAGTGTGTCCACAGTTCACCTATCACATCCTGGAACATATTTGTATCTAACATACAGTCAGCACGTGGATTTAGAAAGCCATGGGGTCATTTAGCCAAGGCTGCTTAAAGGAACAATATAGGGTCAAGAACACAAACATGTATTCCTGACCCTATAGTGCAAAACTCACCATTAAGGTGGCTTGCCCCCCTCCAACCTCCCCTTAAAAGCTTGAAAACCTCACCTTATTTCCAGCGCCGTGCAGGTCCGCCATCACTGGCCCTGCCCCCTTGGTGACATCATCAGAACTGCAAGAGGGCACGGCCAAACACCATTTTGGCCAATCAGCACCTCCTCACCTTAAATCAGTGCATCTCTATAAGGAAAACCCAGCGTCCCCATGCAGAGCGTGGGGACGCTGAACGGCAGAGCTGCCTACTACACAGCACTGAGCCAGAAAGCACCTCCAGTGGCCACTTGGAGGTGTCCCTAGGGGGCAATGTAAACACTGGATTTTCTCTGAAAAGGCTGTGTTTGCTTGAAAATGCCTGAAAGTAATGATTATATTCACCAGAACAACTACATTAAACTGTAGTTGTTCTGGCTACTATAGTGTCCCTTTAAAACTGATGGAGCTCATAATTTATTCTCTTCATTCCTAGAAAAATTAAAGGGTATTATCTCAAAGTATGTCTGTATGACATTGAGATGAAGTGGTCTCGGTGCATGTCCTTTGAAAATGGGTTTGTTTGCAAATCAGTGAGCTGTGGTGGGTTGATGCTGAACTTACAAAACAACAAAATTACTTCAACTCGTCTTCCAGCCTGGCTTTTACTTACAATGTAAAACACTACTGTTTCAGAGAAACAGCAATGTTTAAATTTTTGATAAATCACTCCTTTAGTGGCTGTCCGATTCATGGCAAATAGATCCACCGAATACTTCGATCATTTCACTAATCACAGAGATTACCAAGCAGGCGCCATAGGTTCCAATGCTTCGTTCTGACAAGCTTTGTATTGGAGCAAGACCATTAGCATTGGTGATCTGTAAGTAGGCTCTCCAAAGCTAATCTAAAGACAAAGAAATAGAGCTAACTTAAAAAACTTTTTTTTTTTTTTTAAAGAAACTGTGTTCTTTTAACCCCTTAATGACACATGACATGTGTGACATGTCATGATTCCCTTTTATTCCAGACGTTTGGTCCTTAAGGGGTTAAAGGGTTCCTCCATGTATTATAGGCACTACAACTCAGTGTAGTGGTTGTGTTGCCACAAATACTCTGGTGCCATTCCCCTTCTGGCTGGCAAACCATTTTACAGTGGCTTCCCACTTACCTGGGGTCCCACCGGATGCTGAGTCTCAAAAATGGTGGCTGAGCTGCATCTGACTTCAATATATCTGCAGAAACCAAATGCCAATCCAGATGTTTATTTATTTACTAAAGGTGTCAGCCAATGAGTGAATGAAGCCTTGTGAACAGATTTAAAGGGACACTTGTGAACAGATTTAAAGGGACACTATAGTCACCCAGACCACTTCAGCGCAATGTCCCTCAGGTTTTAACACTTTAGATGCAAACATAGCAGTTTCAGAGAAACTATGTTTGCATTGCAGGGTTAAGACAGCCTCTAGTGGCTGTCTTCCGGACAGCCACTAGAGGCGCATCTGCCTCCATCGCGCAGAGCGTCCATAGGAAAGCATTGAGAAATGCTTTCCTATTGACAGCTTGAATGCGTGCGCGGCACTTGCTGCGCATGCGCATTCGGCTCTGCTGACGTCGGCAGAGGGAGCTGACGTCGGCGGGGTAGGAGAGGTCACCAGCGCCAAGGGAGCCCGGCGCTGTAATAAGGTAAGCTGCTGAAGGGGTTTTAACCCCTTCAGCGCCATGGGAGGGGGAAACTGAGGCTGGGGGCACTCTCTGGGCACTATAGTGTCAGGAAAACCGCTATGTTTTCCTGACACTATAGTGATTCTTTAACTTTAGACAGCCAGGGACACTCATTAATGGCAGGCTTCTGAACACAGGTTCATTGCACTGTGTCCACTGCAAAACACTGGCATTGTCATAGTGCTTTTTAAAACAGTTTTTAACTAACAACCTATACGTTGCATCCAATATTTTTGTGTATCTAGCTTTAAATTGACATTAAAATTCAGAGGACATTGAAATTAGACTTTTTTTGTAACTTCAATTGGCGTGTAAGAGATAGTTATAGTGAGGATGTGAGAGTTATCGAATATTCAGCTCAGAGGTCACAGTGACATTTTACACGTAAGTGATGTTTACTAGGTTGTTAACCACATGTCATTATATGGACAGCCATAGCTGGGAAATGCTGGCATGCTGATGCAATATGAGGAAGGTCATGGCATGAACTCTAGGACACTGTGTAGTGTAATCAGATAGAGAGATAAACATCATGTAGTATAGCTGTAAGATTAGATATGATGAAAATAAAATAACATTTTATCAAGTTCTGCCTAAACATTCTTAACTTGCCTTATTTGTACGTTTCAGTATGTTTGACCACCATACAGTGTACAATGTTTTTTTTCTGTTTTCCGTTCACAGATTATAGACAATTCCCTATGATTGCACAACCACCCTGAGGGTCCGAGAGATGCCCCTGTTCCACTTTTTCTGTTGCAAGGACATGTGGTGGATGTAAAGTGTTTTAGTGCACATAGAGTGTCAGCTCTTTCTGTTTTGTTGAAGAAACAAGAGTTAGAAACATAGAAACATAGAATGTGACGGCAGATAAGAACCATTCGGCCCATCTAGTCTGCCCAATTTTCTAAATACTTTCATTAGTCCCTAGTCTTATCTTATAGTTAGGATAGCCTTATGCCTATCCCACGCATGCTTAAACTCCTGTGAGATTGTAAACAAACTATTGCAAATAGCTTGTCGTTTTTTTTTCTCCTATTGTTTCTGATTACCTTTACTTGTCATTTATTTATAAAAAAACATTTTTTCTTCATTATTGAACAGAGCTGCAAAATATGTTGGCATTATAGAAATAATGATGATAATTGCAATCTAAGCACATTTTCAGCACAGATCTGCTAAAGACCTTATTGGATATTGAGATTAACCTTGTCTTGATCACTACTGCATATAGTGATGTACTTGGTTTTTGACACTTGGGGCAGAAGTGTGTGTTGGCACTCATCTGGAATTCTAAAATGTTTTGTGTGTCATCTTGTGCCAAATGTTTCGCACACTTTCCTCACCCCCTTGTATCTCCTGGCCCATGGCACTCATTGTGTGCTTAATACCCTCTTGTCTATCTCTTAACCCACCTTAACACCTTGTAAACATACCATATCTCTTATTTGTATCCAAATTTCTGGTTACCCATTGTGTGCTCTTTAAACCGCCATTAGTTTTATTGTCTCTTTTGCTCCTTGTGTGTCTTTTAACTCCACTCTCCAAACCAAACTACCAAGATTGTAGTGTGGCTGCGTGGGACTTGGTAGAGGATCCTCATGTTACTGTGCCTGATCAGACAGGGAGCTCTATACAGCATACACTGACTGACTCGAGAAGCATGGATGTGACTGACCAGCTCATCCCCCACTAGTCAATGCTGTTAGCAGCTACCTGTCACGCAGGGTAGACGAACATGACAATATGGCACTAATATATGTCTCTGCTACAGTGGTCCTCTGTGAGAACCTTCACCCACCTCTCCCCAGTGCAGCCCGCCTCCCTTTTTTGTACACTACTGACGGGATGCCAGTGTCTGATCGCATTGCATATTTCGCATAGACATTCTATGACTTGTTGAATATTTTAATGAATGTCCCATTCACAATATGATCTAGTGTCTTTCTCGTTTTCCTTGATAACCTTTAGGCATTTCTGGCATAACTGAAATATGAATGCTCCCATTGAGTATGCTTGCTGTTTGATGTCCTATAGTTCTTCTTCCTGAGACATTTTATGACCTTGAAGAAAAATAGACTCCTATTCAAAATTCTGAATAAAGCAGACGTCATTGCAAGGAGAAAATCAGTAGAGGAAATGCACTTTAATATGTTTTGTATTCACTCTGACCACAATAGGTACGAAATGCTACGTACAGATTAACAAAACAAACACACAAAAAAACATGGCATTTAGCTCTTTGTGGTATGAACCGGCTTAATCACAGTATGACGTTTAGCATGGGCTGCAGGATATATACACCATATCATAGTTCTGCAGGTGAAGCTTTTTCACAATACAGTTATTTAGTAAAGAGGAAATTTGTGGCGAAAATTGCAAGGAAATAGGGAAAAAGAGCCAAACTGAAATCGGTCTTCAGTTTTTCCAGCTCAGATATTTTATCCTATAATTTGTAATTCCCTTGTCCTTTCTCCACAAATTCCTGATTTTGGGCTTGTTTCCGATTCGGTAGTTAAATGTCAGCTGTTGTAATTATATGCAGCCAGTACATATTTGCAACAAAAAAAGTGCTTGACGTGTTTCCAGGCTCATGTTTACACCCATACAGATAATGTGTTTAACACATGAAAGGGTTACTAGAACCCCTTGTAACAGAAATTTGTTTTCAGCGAATAATGCCCTGTCGGCACTGTAACAATTGTCCACCTACCTTTTTTATTTATTTAGTTTTTAATAAAATAGGTTAAAACGTATCTGGAATACAGAGCCGGGTTTCCACGCTCTGACGTCACGCTGCGAAATCCGCAGTCAAATCAAATGCTTCGTAGAGAAGCATTGTATTTGACCATTCGTTCCAGGTCAGAGTGCACATGTGTGCGCTGAGCTGTGGAGGGGAAGGAGGAGGTGGACAAAGGAGGAATTTACATTTAGAAACCAAAAAACTAAACAACCCGAATGCACAACACGTAGAGAGGCAGGGCGAGCCAGCATGGACGAAGGACACACTCAAGCTTATATATGCTTACAACGTCTGTCGTCAGCGCGCAGTATATTATGCACAGCATTTCAAGCACTAACCACTATAGCAACTTTTTAAAGCAGAAGTGGTCATAGGGGCTGGAGTAACCCATTAATCACAACAGGACAATATAAAAGAATAGACATAGGAAATGTCTGCTTTATTTGTACATAAAGGTTGATGTACATGTCTAATAACATGTATGCTACGTGTATTGTACAATGATTTTGTACCATGTTGGGTACATATGTGTGTGATAGCACTGCAGGGCCTAGTTGTTGCCTTAACTTTTAAAGTTAATTTCCGTTATGTGAATTGTTTATGTAAGTGCTGCATGGGTTTAAATTACACATACCTACGATATTGGGAAGCATGAAGCATGCCAATCAAGAGAGGTTCAGCAGATCCTGGAGAGGGTGTCCCTCTCACTTATGTCACTAGCAACTCACATACTGGGCAACCCAGTCTTCAGAGAAGAAAGGTCCACCCACTAAAGGGGTATGTCAGCCAGGCATCATTGCATACCAGACTGACTGATAGACTCCGGATTGGCCCACTCACAGGAGACTATGCTGCTGTATTGCTCTTTGAATGGTTATGCCCACTACCATGTGACACTGGGTACCAGTGTGTACCCTATACTAGTGTAAGTGAGGTTTTAAACTTACCTTATGATCCCATTTACTATGCCACGGGTGGGGGCATGCCCACTAACCAGCGAGTAGTCCATACTCACTGTCATAAAGAATAATGACTGGGCAAGTATTAGGCGCTAGTAATGTACAGGAGGGGTCTGCTGGCATGGCTAAGATGATAGAATTGAGACTTGCCTATCCGCGTACTCTGATTGGCTTACAAGCCAGCCAATAGGAGAGCTCTGACTGAGATTGCATAGTGTGGGAAAACCCTTAGAAGGACTTTTCCTGCCAGGCAAGGTCATTCTGCTTTTCCTGTCAGGCAAGGTCATTCTGCATTGAGCCCTCAATGGGCTAGCATGGATTGTTATTATTGAGGGTTTTTTTTGTTGTATTTGTAAAAAAAAAAAAAAAATTTGGGGAGACAAATCTGGTATTTGTTATTTTTATAGTAACATTGGAACTTTTTTCAGCCCCACATAATTCCAAGAAACGTGTTATGAAGACGTCTGATGGTAAATATATATTAAATGTTGTTGTTGTTGCAGGTATATAGACTTATTAGGGCCCTCCTCACTATTATTACTTGTGGTGGATATAAATATTTTTGGGGGATTTCTTTCTACTTTGGCTGTGATCTTCTGATCTCACCATATTTTCTGACCTTATTGAATACAGAGCCCATAATCATGTGCATTATGGGAGCACTTGGACTTGTGCACACCCCACTGTACAATTCATGGAATGAATGTCAGATATGTCTTGGATTGAATTATATTGCCTGGATAACCAGTCCAGTTTGATCTGCGTATCCTGGTGCTTTGTTTTATGCTATTTGATGTTGCCTGCAGATTTGAAGGTTTCCTTACTTCAGAGGGGAATTTAAATTTGATTTACTGAATCATTATAGGATGCTGCACTTCTATTTGTGGTTGGGTGCATGTGATGGTGTTCACTGTGATTCAATGAGGCAACAAGACATTTAAATATATTATTATAGTACGATTGTATACCTGCCTGATTCTGACCTTCACGGTAGTTCACGGTAAGAAATACAATATTTTGGTGGCTATGAAAGCCTTAATCATGTATACACATTATTACATCCACCATATTTAAACTCTATCGGCCATTGCTATTGGTCAATGAACACTTGGAATATCCAATCCCACTCCACAATTAAGGGCGGAGGTGAATGCAGTAAAAAAAAACAAAAAAAACAAAAAAACATTAATATATCCATGAATAAGTAAATAGCACATATATAGAAAAACAGGAATATTAAGGCTTACACAGTCACCGAAACATTGTATTTCTTGTACCGTGAACCAGGATCATATGTGGCTTCAATACATATTGTTTCATCTGCTTATCTTGCTGTAATGCCCGTTCTTCAACATTTTTTATTTTCTTGTTACAAACAGGTCTTCTAGATGACAGATCCACTTCACTAATGACACTTCACGTATCTTCGCTAAATAACCCCCTTACTGAACCTCTTTGTAGTTATATACCTGTCAGAACAGCAGTTCATTAATGGAACGCTCTATGCTAGATTCTCTTAGCAGAGTAAGGGTTTATACTCTGCTAATCAAATAGCTATTTTCCTGTGGAGGGAAGCCAGCCCCTTAACATTAAAAATGATATTTTCATTAAATTGTATTTAACGTTCTAATATTCCTTCCTTTTTTCAGACTACCGGAACTTAAAAAAAAAAAAGAAAGAAAGAAAAAAAAAAAAAGCAAGAATAGACAGATATTTCATTTTACCTGGCTGCTAACTTTTTCCCCAGCACCTAGCGTCAAAGAAAATTTGCCAAGTCTTGCTCTATCCCTCCTATGAAAACCAAGATTACAGACTGTCCAGTAGTAAGACCATTATGAAACTACATTTTAGGGAAGTAATGAGAAATTTACTTCATGCTTCAATTAAGCAGTCATTGACATTTAGTGAAGCAGACAGATCAGAACACTGTGTCTACTTCAAAATAAGCGTTAAGTCATTTTTTCCAGTCATCTTGTTTCAATATGCACATGTTTTTCCCCAGTTTCAATTTAGAAAACTATTTAATTGCATGTAGTTTTAATGGTGTGTGTGTGTGTTAATGAAGTTTTTACTATTATTTGCAAGTAGTTGCAACAAGATAAGTTGGACATACAGAAACAGAAGGTGCTGAGGGATTCGCTCAAATGAGCTTACATTCTAAGGGAAGACATAGGAATCCTGCTTTTCTTACCCAGGGAAGAAATTCAAATCCCATATGTTTTAGGTGACAGAGATATTTTGAAGAAGTGATCGTTATGTAATATGTTTTCTGTGTTGTAAAATCCTGAAGAAATTAGTGAGTTTAGGGAATGGGACAATATTTATTTGTTACAGGGGCAGGATGAACAAAGTATATTCTTGTGTATTCCTTTGGAAAAAAAACCCAACACAATACAGAGTGGTTAAAAGTATATATTTTTTTACTTCCTATGCTACATTCTTGACAGATGTCTATAGTGGCACATTGTCTCTGGGTACACATGGTCTTGTCAAGAAACCGCTCCTTATACAAGATAAATAGTTGTATCGTTAATGTATCACTCCATAGTTTTCATTTGTAGCCCTACAAAACCTAGGAAAAGACAGCAGAACAGTTTGATTCCTGTAAGAGCACTAATAATATATCACTGGCAATCTTTGGCCTACCACATGGACAGTTAGCCAATCTGAAGGCTGATAAATATGGCAAGTCACTTGAACATCTGGATTGCCAAATCATATCTTTTTTTTATAGTCCTGTTGCAAAGGTTTTGTTTTCATAACATAAATACTCTAATTCAGTCACAAATACATATAATTACTGTAATAATCACATTTTAAGAAATGTGAACAGATAACCTGTCCAGCAAACACTTGTAGGGCAAGCAAGCATTCTACCTGCTTTTCTACCTATATGTGCTCTGTCTGTGTATGTTTATTACTTCCTAAAGAATTGAGTTGGCACAGGACAAGCCCCAGGACTCAGACAGCTATGGCTTTCACAATGTTTTGCTACATTACCATTATCCCAATGGGTATAACCCTACGGACTCTTACAGCAATCAGAACTTGTAATAAAATGTTCTAAGTTCTGCACCCACGTGTCTTGCCATGTCTTTAAACACATTGTTGGAGAGTATGATGTATTCACTAATGATTCATTACATTTGCGGTTTTCACAAAGTCTCAGGTTTCCATGATTCACTTTGTCTCTTCAGAGGTTCGAAGATGTGCAGCCATTTATTTTCCGGTGTTCGCATATCTTTGGCGAAGCACAGACTTCATTATCTATAGTGTAGTTTAAATACATTACAAATCGCTGTTAGAATCTCCTAACCTTCCCTACATTGAGGATGTACAGTGCTTCCTTGCAAATTGCTTCCAGGAAATGATTTTCTTGTAACGTAAGATTTGAGACCACAATTGAAACGTTCCCACTAATTAGTGCTTAGCAGGAGCTGTGCAGTCATACTCGTAGCCGGTGGGGGTGTGTATGTTTTTTGCCTTTTTTATTTTTTTCTTCTTTTTCTAGGAGAGTTGTACAGTTAAACAAGCATCCCAATAAATAAGTGTTTTTCCTGCTATGAATACATGGATTTCCTCCTCTGTATTTACCACGTAAATTGGTATATTGCCCACTTTGACATTGACTTGCAAAGTATGGCTATTTTGTTTCCATGGTTATCTGAAATATCACATCATTGTTTAGCTGTCATAGAAATTGTCAAAAGCGGCAGCTTGCAGTTCAAGCATGTAAAGTGTTTTGTTTGTAAATGTTTGCTTTTGGGGGGATGTAATAGTAAGATTCTATTCCTAACTCGACACAATGACTCTCCCCAAGTGTTATTCATGTCTCGGGGTTTAGTAGTACACATTAGACTGGCTTTATAAATGTAGATAAAAGGGAGTTTGTGTGGGGGGGTAGGGAATAGTGTTTTGTGTAAATGGAATAAAATGGCATACATTGTGTATAATTGTAAAACAGATCTGAGAGTGTTTAAAACCACCAGGATAAGCATGCACACCTCCCAACATTGCAGATAGACAGAGAGGGACACATTCATTTTAGTGGGAGTGTGGCCAGGGACAGGGCTGTTCTGAAAAATTTCAGGTGACTTACTAATAATTTGCGTGACTGAAATATAATTTTCAACTAGGCTTATCTAGACAGACTGATTTCTAAACACATTTAGTGTAGTTTAAATACATATTACTGTGGGTATTATTGCTGTGGAGCTCTGTTGTGCACTGAGACACACAAACAATATGGAGCTCCTTGAAAAGACGGTCATTAACACAGGAAAGAGGGACAGAGGCAATTGGGCCCAAATAGAGACTGCCTGTCCTAAATAGGAACACCTGGGAGATATGAACATGTTTGTTATATTTTAGATGAAAAACAAGTGTTTTCGATTGTGTTTTAAAGTGACGGTATAGCTTAATGAAACAGTTTTGTTGTATTGGTCATGCCCATTAACTCTAACTGATCAACTCTCTGCCATTTAGGAGTCAAATCACTTAGTTTATGCAGCCGTAGCCACACCTTCCTGCATGTGACTTACACAGGCTTCCTAAACTCTTCCTGAGAGTGAGATCACTTCCTTTATTGCACAGTTTGTTTAATTTAGAATTTTCTATCTCCTGTTCTGTTAAAAGCTTGCTAGACCTTTCAAATGCCTTGTGTGTGTGTGTGTGATTAAAGTTCAATTTATGGAGTTGGAGATAAAAACCTCTAAAGTATGTTAACATCTGATTGAAAATGACACAATTCTTTTCATGCAGGTTGAGAGTCACAGCCAGGGGAGGTGTAGCTAGGGCTGCATGGGCGGAAAAATAAATAAATATTTAACTCCTGGCAGAAGATTGCTGAGACTGCAGAGGCATGATCTAGGCACAAAAAAGTAATTAAAGTTGTTTTGGTGACTATAGTTTGTGACTTTAATTCCATTGGAAACACTTTCAGAACACTGCCTTTTCTCTAAAAAAACTGCCTTTTCTCAGTGAAAAGCCTGAAGGGACATGCTATTGACACCAATACAACCCCAAGTATGACTTTTTTTTTTTTTTTTTTTTAAATATGAATCCTTAAATCTTAAAGGGACAATCCACAGCCCAAATAATGTAAATAAATATATATAATCACTATTTAGTAGATATACCCCAATAAAAACATGTCTGCTTATTGTTTGCAGCCTTTGCAAGTCACTCAGTGCAGACTTTCTGTGACTGTCCAATCACAGACTTCCTGATGCAGCTCAATGAGACATCAAGTGTTCTATGAGCACTTACTGCCTCTTGAGTTTAGCTCCACTGAGTTACATAAACCCTATTACATCCCCTGTTGACTGATTGAAAGCCAGGTTAATAAGGTTAATGTATAAAAGTGGCATTATCGATTGAAAACTGCACTTTTTGTAAAAGTAAAAGGGCACACTTTTTGCACTTAATGCACTAAAGCAAAAAAAGTGTTTTGTGTTTGTTTTTGTTTATCCGTCTGTCGTCTCTCCCTCTCTCCCTCTCTCTCCTTCTCTCTCCCTCCCTCTCTCTCCCTCTCTCTCCCTCTCTCTCTCCCTCTCTCTCTCCCTCTCTCTCTCTCTCTCTCTCTCTCTCTCTCCCTCTCTCTCTCTCTCTCTCTCTCTCTCTCTCCCTCTCTCTCTCCCTCTCTCTCTCTCTCTCTCCCTCTCTCCCTCTCTCTCTCTCTCTCTCTCTCTCTCTCTCTCTCTCTCTCTCTCTCTCTCTCTCTCTCTCTCTCTCTCTCTGTCCCTCTCTCTGTCCCTCTCTCTGTCCCTCCCTCTCTCTCTCCCTCTCTCTCTCTAATGAACATATAGACCAGAGGTCTGTAACACAGTCTTCAGGAAAAAAACAGATCCAGATTTTGTTAGTATTGACATTGGTACGTAATTGGGAACTGCTTCAAACGCTACCAAAGATCTACATTTACATGACAAAGCAGTTCCTCCTTTTTCTCGTGAATTTATACCTTTTGATTATGGTAGAATTTTAAAGAAATTTCTACACCGTCAGAGGTTACATTTGTTATGAAAGGCTCAAAAGTGACAGAACTGTTTTGCAATCTGGTAACACTTTCCCAGAGAATAGAATGCAGCTCTTCAAGTGGTAAGCATAGCTCAAAGAAACTTGCCACGGGCATTCCCACCTATTTTAAGGACAGTTGAGGACCAGAGCCACCTCTAACTCTGTCTTTTATATAGGGGCAAATCAAAACCTGCCTTTCTTACTCATTTTATCTTTTGATTTATCATTCATTGTTTGACACAATGTCTAAAAGGGTGACTCATGTGGGGAATTATTTTGCTTAATAACCCAGGGAAAGTGCCTGAGTATTTATCCTTTTTGGTGTCTGTAGGGCGATCATACTAATAAATATAATCTCAGTATAATGGTAATATAGTGACACCCCTGGTTTCTGAGTCACCAGTCCTAGTGAATCCTCAGGGCGTTACCACACTGTGCCATTGCACCTCTGGCACAGTGCCCAGTAGCACTACATGTCACAATTTTAGTGTGGAGCTGTGTGGACTGAATAGCTTTTTTTTTTTTTCCTACAAAGTTCACTGAAACTCTTCTATAGGTTTTGTTGTGTATTTTATTTTATTGATGTTGAATGTTTGTAAGATCGACGTCCAGATTTAATCAAGTCTGGTATTCACTAATGTCAATCTGAATAGACTTTGCAGGTAAATTTGGCATTGAAAACTTGTAAAACGAACTCACTGAGAAGTCCCAGCTGGCGGCTTCATGCCCGATTCACGTTGAATAGCTGCAGTCACTTCATGTCAGGGAGTAATAAGTCAAATTGTTTAAACTGCTTCTTATTAGGACTACTGATTGTAACTTTTAACTGCCCCTGTCATTATGTTGTAGCACTGCTGGTCATTATTGACTGTTTTACATGTATGCACACAGGGGTCTTATGTCTGCTAAATATGATCTACGTGTCTGCAAGCATTTTTTTGCCCTAGATTGTTCCGTCCAAGCCATAGAACACTGCATGAGAAGAAGTATATCGGGGACTAGCTTCTTTGTATCCGATGCCAGAGCAGCAAGCAATAATGTGAGGGAGGATGTATTAGAGGAAATGTTATTTTCAACACAGGTTCTCATTGTTCTCCTTATGAATGAGGGTGGGACCAAAACCCATTCATTTACTGCCTTTTTGTGACTCCAGATGCCAAGCCTCAGAGGGACGGGTGACTGGGTGGGAGGTAGGATAAAGGAGGTGAAACCTACAGGCCTTGCAAGTACTTTAGCAAGTGGCCAGCCGCTGGCTTGTGTGACTTCTAGGAAATCAATATGCAAGCTTGTTATTGTTGCACACTATTAGGGGAAGAAGTATTGTATACAGTGAGTATGTATTCTATGGGCTGCTGTTCACAAGGTACAATGTATCCATTTCCAGGGAATGTATTCTTGCTTGTTAACACTTTGGGTGTCAGTGAGCTTATAAGCACTTGTGTTCGCTGACTTTTCATTGCTTCTTGCATTTCCTCTGCGGATTTCATTAGACTTTTTTTGCAGTTGATTCATTTTATACAGGATTGAACGTTTTGATAATGGTAGGGGTTGCCAGTGTAAATTTTTACTTACTGTAAATGTTTGTTCAAGATCTAAATCTTGCAGTTGTTCTTCCTTTTAATAGAATTTTGCAAATAATTCATCACTGTGGTTTAGAGGTTGTGTTGAAATTTCAGTGAAATGAAATTCTGTCCTTATGGGAAAACATGGACGTGACAGGGTAAATTTAAAAATAAGACAAGAAAGTAGTATAATGCCTTCTTATCCGAGCTAGGAATGGCATATTAAATATAAATATTAAATTATAAATTAAATATAATGAGTTAAACTTTAAATAAGGGAAATAAATGTAAGTTGTTTTTTTTTCTTCACCTCACTCTCAGATTAATTGTCGTAAAGCAGTTGTTTGTTCTACCATCTTAAATTTCATTTACCCCTACTACTCTTACAGCCTATACATTCAACATCCAAATTCTTGCACACTTTTGGGTTTTTCTTTTGTTAACATACACTCTATAAAGTCCTGTATCAAAGGTGATACAGGATTACCGGATTACTGCCTTAGATATGATTGCTATCAATTGTCACTCAAATTATCCTAGTTTGCAGTATCCACATCTTTGTTCTCTCTCATATGTACAAAGAGAACGTAGGGAGGGAAAAAAAAAACTGAGAAATCTCATAGGATTATACTGATAAAACACATATATTTATTAAATGATAAAAAGTAAGGGTGAGCTCTCATATTAGCTTGAAATTTCACTCCCATTAAGGAGTCACCAATGCAGTCCCTTCTATTCGCCGTCCCGGCATATACTGGGTTGTATCGTTATAAAGGAGTTTCTTTTGAAGTTCCTTCGATTCCTGGTGTTTTAGCACCAATAACTGTAGTAAGATTCTCACCTCCTAGCAACTTTGTTCAAATGTGTTTCGCCACTTCAGGGTCTTTTTCAATGATATAATTGAAAAATTATATCTCTTAGCAAGAGTCACCTCCTAGCAAGTTTGTTCAAATGTGTTTCACTACTTGAAGGCTTTATCCATAATATCAGTTGCTAGGACATTACTAAATTTACATGTGCTAAAAGATGTGTGTGTGTGTGTGTGTGTGTGTGCTGGCTGTGTGTTGTTTGTCCGCGTTTGTCTCCTGGCTATATTTTTTGTGTGTTGCAAGAGTCTCACCTCCTAACAACTGTGTTCAAATGCGTTTCACCGCTTCAGGGGCTTTTTCAATTATATCAGTTGCTTGTGCTAAAAAAAAATTGTGTCTGTGTCTGCTGGCTGTGTGTGTGTGTGCTAGTTGCATGTTACGTGCCTGCTGACTGTATGGTGTGGGTGTTTGTGTGTGCTGGCTATAAGTTGTGGTTGTGTGTTCTGGCTGTGTATAGTGTGTTCTGGATCTCATACTCTAATAACTCTTAAAGGACCACTATAGTGCCAGGAAAACATACTCGGTTTCCTGGCACTATAGTGCCCTGAGGGTGCCCCCATCCTCAGGGTCCCCCTCCCGCCGGGCTCTGGGGGGAGGAAGGGGTTAAACTTACCTCTTTCTCCAGCACCGGGCAGGGAGCTCTCCTCCTTCTCTCCGCCTCCTCTCCTCCTCTTCGGCTGAATGTGCATGCGCGGCAGGAGCAGTGAGACAGCCACTAGAGGCTGGATTAACCCATTTATAAACATAGCAGTTTCTCTGAAACTGCTATGTTTATAGAAAAAAAGGGTTAAACCTAGCTGGACCAGGCACCCAGACCACTTCATTAAGCTGATGTGGTCTGGGTGCCTATAGTGGTCCTTTAAGCCAAATCGGGCTTTAATACATGCAACGCATGCCTCAGACCACAACCACTGTAATTTCACTCCTCACAGTTTGGGCACTAACTGAATCAGAGTGCATGCTGGGAGACATAGCGGCTGTGCTCTGACTCAGTAGATAGCACCGGAACCATGGAGAGGTCGGCAAGACCTGAAAGTATAGCGCTCAAAAAGTAATATCTCAAATAAAACTCACTTTACACAGTGGAGAACATTTATAGAAGTTCAAGCATTGTATAAAAGTTGTGGCAAAAAATGTTTTAATTTTGTTCTTTACTTTTATTAATGTATTGTCCATATTTAAATAAAGTGTTTTTATTTTCCTGTCTACCGTTACACCAGATGGCAGCGGTAGGTGTGGCAAATGCATTAATTGCGCTAATACCAGATACACAACAATTTATCTCCATCCTTACACTGGTACAAATATCTGGCATTTCATTACATGCAAGTCTGAAAGTGTTACTTTTCCTTTTTTTTTTAATTCTTTATTTTTGTTTGTGCAGGGAATAACAAAGCATTTGTCAATGCCACAACAGCATATTATAAAATATATAAACACAGTGGTTATGCATTTGTGGAAGGAGCGTTTTGGCACATTTTCTTTAAACATTACATTATGAACTAGCTGTGCCTTGCTAGGTAGACCTAGGTATGAGAATCATTAGATTATATAGCAGAGATTACACCGTGAGATTACAGTATTATTAGTTATTAGAGAGACTAACAATATACGTGTACTATTTGTATGACTGATAACATAGCATCGCTTGAGTAATAATGTCGTTAGACGCGCCAATGATATGTGGGAAGGTGAGACGTCCCAACAGTAAGGTGAGAAACCGCAAGATGTGCATTAAACAAAAAAAGAGGTTTAACAAATTATAATCGTGTGCGTAGTACTCACGCGCCAAGTAGCCTGTGAACCGCTGGAACACTGGGCAGTTGTGGCTGTACTGTAGTACCTAGTATTTGGATGGTGTTCATGAATAACTTTGGGGGCTTAGAAATTTGATGCTTAGTCCAGTGCAAGGGCAGTGTATGCCATGCGTAGGTTCATGTCAATGGGTGTTAGCTTATTGCAAATGTCCGCCAGGTTGAGTGGGTTCTGCAGGGTCTTCTTTGTCGGCGTCATCTCCGGAGCTAGCCAGCCGGCAGTCCGGGTCTTTTCATCTGCTCATCCAATGCCCAGTCTATGCAGAAGTGTAAGTTTGCGTTGCCGTGGGGTTGTTTGCTGCATGGTGGTGCTTTTCGGCATGTTGTGAGGTTGTACCTCGCGTGGCTGCTTCGTGGTGCTTCCCCATGTCGGTGAGTGGTTAGTGGGTCTTGTGGGCGTAGAGGTCTCTCCCCAGCGTGTTTGAGGCCGAGTGTCTGCATCTGAGGGAGATGTTGCCGTTACCCGCCTCTGTGTTCCGGAGCTCTGTCTTCGGCTGGAGGCCACTTTGCGGGCTCGTGGCAGGTATCTACCCAGTTGGCGCTGGGTTGTCGGTTTAATCCATGCCGCCACTGACCGCATGGTGATATGGAGGAACCGGCCTTTAGTATGGAGCCTTGTCCGCAGGCCGTCACTTAGCCGGGCAAAGAACTCCAGGGTGTGCTGGTGGTTTAGCGAGGGTGTTTTTTGGCGCTAGGCGCTGCTGTGTCGCCATTTTGCATGGGTCCCCACCGTCCCGCTGGGTTGCGAGTTTAGTTGCTTGTAGAGGTTGCTTTGTGGGGGTAATCGTCCCCAGCGAGGACCGGGATATCCCCCGCCGGTCCAGGGGGGGGGGGGTAGCAGGGCTGTATTCAAGGCTAGCTTGTGAGCGGGTCTCGCGCCCAGAGGTCGGCCGCCTCTCCCAGGCCCTGGGCTCTGCTCCAATGTAGGCCGCATGGCCGGTTTGTGTGCCCGTAGCGTATAGTGGTGCATGGCGGGCATTGTTCGAATCCCCGTGTGGTCCTGCATCGGTTTTGGGACCTTGTGAATAGCTGGCACGGGTAGTTAAATCAAGGTTGTCGTATGTTTGCCCGTTGTAGTCAGAGCTCTCAGAGAGCACATCCAACCATCTTGGCTGTCAGGCCCCGCCCCCCTACTTTTCCTTTTTTTAAAGATCAATTGTAGGGACATTATTTTTAGTTAATATAATGTATTCAAGAGCAGAATTCTCAAATAACAGCCACAGAATAGTGGGTTATACCCAGCGGGTATGTAACATTTGAAAATAGTAAGAATATTATTACAGAATTTACAGACTTTGGTCTGAATAATGTTAGAGGGAAATGTGCATTTTAAATTGTTTCTGTAATTTCTTAGAATTTGTAATATTATGTTAACCATATATTTAATGTATTTACATGTACATTAGGTTATGTATTTGAAATCCTGCAAATGAATGCCTCCATCTTCGCTCACTGCCAATCATTGGAATAAACCCTGTCCTTTCCATGTTTCATCAATAGTGTGAACTCCAGACAAGAGATATTCCCTTTAACCCCTTAAGGACCAAACTTCTGGAATAAAAGGGAATCATGACATGTCACACATGTATTGTGTCCTTAAGGGGTTAAATCCCTACTGTGGTATGCTTTGTGATTACTTTTATTGTCCTAAGAGATCATTAAACCAAGTGCTGCTATTAGTTTATTATTATATGTAGATTTTCTGATTCCAGTTTTATTTTAGTTAGCTGAATATAACTTTAATTTCTAATGGGTCCATTTATTTCTTGTCATGTTTCTCCCAGCAGCTTTTCTCCCCAGCGTGGTGTAAATTGCGTCATAACCTAACCTTTTAGCTTTTACATGCGTTTGAACTTTTCCTACTGCTTTCAGTCATATGAAAGTTCAATGACCCATTAAGTGACTTAGATTTTACTTTGTAATATGAGGCTTTTCTAAATAAGGATCTTGAATCTTGCTTTATATTCAAATACAACATTCTATGAAACATAATGAGTTCTAATTAGTACTCATATGCCATATGCAGCTTTTATAAGCAAATATCCAGAATAGTTGTTTGTTTTCATTTTGTGGGAGTTTTAAGAATCTATGTTACTGGGTTAGTGAGTGATATTTGGTTTTCCTATCATCTGGCAACAGTTGAATGGTCCATGACATCATTCATTGTTGCCACTGGAGTCTGGGATTTGCTTTGCCACAACCAAAGCCAATATGTAAATGTCTCATGGAACACCTTTGGATTGTTCATAATTTAAAAAGTGTTTCTTTTAAGCAACACTGAAAAAGATATGACTGCCCTAAATATCTACATCTGTATATACAAACATTTCCATCATCCACAAATGTACATAAAAGTGAAATCCGATACATAGGCACAATATATTTGAGATTGCATTGGGTGGGGGAATAAATGTCCTTTGCACATTATTCGTGTGAGGCTAACTATAGGAAACTATAGTTTATTTTTTTATTTTTTGACAACAAAATTGCCAATGAAGTTTTTCTCTATATATCACTTAGCAGCTTAATATCTTCATGTCAGAATACAGAGTGTTAAAAGAAACAAAACCTAGCACTTACTTTCAGTAATATTTTGGAACAAATAGGCAATCTTGTCACCGACCTCCCTGTGATGGATTAAGGTCAGACCCTGCTGACACATTTCAAGTGTTCGTTATGAATACATTTTCAGGTAATTGCTGAAGGACGTGAAGTAAACCCTGTTCTGTGTCAGTCTCAGATTCTTCTCCCCAAGCTGCGGACAGCCCAGTTTGTGCATGTTACTGTTATCTTCACTTTCTTTCATCCTGTGCCAGCCATTTCTGAGCAGTAATTCTACTGGACTGCAAGGCACGAATCTACGAGCTGATAAACTCTACTTCATTTGGCCATACTTGTTAGGCCATGAATGTCCTGTCAGACTGAGAAGGGATTCCAGATGTGCAGCTTATTCCACATGCTGTGGAACGTGCAGTAATAAATTATTGTTGTTGTGATTGGTTGTCCGCTCTGCGCAATTGCCCTCTGACTGTACTTAGAACATAACAGCTTGTTCCACTATTCCGCAAAGATGCAATCCCACGTAACTAACCAAAGTATGTTTTACAGGGCCTGTATGACTAATACTAATGAGCTAAAAGCAAGATTAAATATTTCCACTTATCTAATTGTAAACTTTTTTCCCCCCATGATTCTTTGTGAGCATTGAAAGGAATATGTATATGTGTGTCACTGTATGTGTAGCCTACAGTAGCCACGTTAGTCCAGTAATTCAGAAACCAAAATAATTGCAGTGCGCAGTCATACTTTTTATTGGACAAGTCCTATAAAAAGTATCACTACCCACTGCACTGCTCCTGTCATTGCATCAGTTGTGTGTGTGTGTGTGTGTGTGTGTGTATTGATTGATGGGACTTTAATCCTAGCCCTTTCATATAATATAAAGTATACTTTTGATGAATCATTCTTTATGGGAAAATAATGCTGTTTGAGGGTTTTCTATCTACTTCTTCTACAAACATGACCAAAGGAAACAAGCCTGACACAAATGGTATCTATAAAGCCCACAATGGTAATTTAACAGGAGAGAATACTAAATGCAGCTGTTTTTTGTGCCCAAGTAATAGTGTAAAACGCTATGCTCTTCTATTGTATATGGGGTACACCATTCATGCTTACCATACCATTCATGCTTGTCATTGGTTTCTTTCCTTCTTTGCATATTATCCCACCTAGGGGAAGTATCAGCTGTATATAAAATAGTCTCTTACTAAATGCCCATAATGTGGAATCAGATTTCTGGTGCTGTTCTCGTAGTACCTTAGCAAAAAATTGAAGAGCAACACAACGCTTCATGCAGGTGTGTGGTCTTGGGTTTTCCATATTCTATAAATATTCATTTTTATTTTTATTTGCCTGGTCCATTTTTACACATAAGGTCTGTTTCTGAAACTATAGTGTCCACATTATTAATAAACCCATACTTAAAAGGATCGGACTTGTTTAAATTATTTGGATTTACTGAGAGTGTGTCTTCTATTGTACCTAATGGAAGTTTCTCCTTAGGAACTTCCTACTGGTGGGGTTAAAAAATAAATAATAATATAATAATGGGGAGGCAGCAGGAAGCTTCTGACACCATAACTGCTACAGCGAGCTTAAGCTGTAAAGATGCTTTGCGTGTTCTTATAAGTTAAAAAAAAAAAAAGAAATCTTCTTTTACATGCTTCTCCCTCTCAAAGTATGATTTGGCTAGTTATTATTTTTTTTATTTATTTTTTTCCTTCTAGGTTTTAATGCAATTCTTTTGCCTCATCTTGTAACATGGATGTTGTCAGAGTTCCCCTTGAAAGAAGTTTAGATGAGAGTCTGAAGTAGACGGAATGACGATGCTCGTCCAGAGTGAATAGCCTGCAGTGCTGATCAGGGTATGGGATTACATTGTTATTTTACAAGCATATGGGGGGTCATTTATATTTCTCATCTGTAATGTGTTACTCTGACAGTGAAGGCGTTTCCAGATTGTGTGCTGTAGAGGAAGAACTTTTCTGTACTACACTGTTATATTTACATATTCACAATATCTTCTGTCACAGTTCTAGAAATAATATTATTGTATCAGACATGAAAGACTTGACATCACTCTTGAGTTTCCTGTAGATCAGTGTAAGAAACATTCTTTTATGTGCATAAACTGGAACAATAGAAACAATATATTTTATGGGGTCATTAAAGAATAACATCAGATATGTGATTTCTGTGAAATCGTGTAATTCCTTCATGCAACTTGTGATCTCAGCACAGGGAGCTCCATTTCTTAAAGAAATAAACATGTATAATTTTTTTAAACACGCAGCTGCTTGCTGAGGAAATAACATGGAAGAAAGATTAAATGGATAAAACTAAACAATACATAATCTATATTTATTTGTACAACAGAACACGGTTTGAAACTTAGTGACTTTACTTTGGAGATGTTTGTTGGATATTTTCTAAAGGTCTGCAGATAGAATGCTGGGAGACACCACTCTATAATATGAGGTAGTTAGAAGCAGCATTGTGTCTTGCCTTTCAAAAAATGTTCTGGGGAAAAAAAAGCTTTAAAAAAAAACCTCCTCAATGGACTGTACTTCATATTCCACCTATCCTTCAACAGGAAGAGGAGGAACCACCAGTTTAGGTAGGGTGAATTGGTTGCTGGTCAGGTATGTTAGAATTTAGAATGCTGGGTTGGAATTGAGAATGTTGGGTTGAAATTCAGAATGTTTGGCTGACATTGAGAATGTTGGGTTGGAATTGAGAAAGCTGGAATTTAATTTAGAATCTTGAAATGTAAAATGTTGGTCTGGCATTTAGAATGGTGGGCTGAAATTTAGAATGCTGGAATGGAATCTAGAACCTTTAAACTTAGAATGTTGAATTGGAATTTACTTTGATAGCTAAAATGTTTGAAATGTGTTGACTATTACTTTAATTGTGTAATACTGCATTCTCTGTTTTTTTTAATGTATATTTTACAATGTTTTATTTTGTTATTATATATTTGTATTATTATGGATGGGACCACCACCCCAATTCTTTTTCTTATTCTGTATCCCTTCCATTTGTTATTGTTTAAAATTTTATTTAAAAAACTTCAATAAAAAATAAATTGATTTTAGAATGTTGGATTGGAATTTAGAATGTTACAATTTAGAATGTTGAATTGGAATCTAGAATCTTTAAACTTAGAATGTTGAATTGGAATTTACTTTGATAGCTAAAATGTTTGAAATGTGTTGACTGTTACTTTAATTGTGTAATACTGCATTCTCTGATTTTTTTTTTGTTTAATGTATATTTTACAATGTTTTATTTTGTTATTATACATTTGTATTATTATGGATAGGACCCCCACCCCAATTATTTTTCTTATTCTGTATCCCTTCCATTTGTTATTGTTTAAAATTGTATTTAAAAAACTTCAATAAAAAAATAAATTGATTTAGAATGCTAGGTTGGAATTTAGTATGTTGGATTGGAATTTAGAATGTTAAAATTTAGACTGTTGAATTGGAATATAGAATTTTGAATTTGAATCCAGAAACTGAATGATGGGCTGGAATTTAGAATGATAGACTGGAATTTAGAATGATGGAATTAATTCAGAATGATGGGATGAAGTTTAGAATGCTGGGTTGGGATTTAGAGTGGTGAGTATAATTTAGATTGTTGGATTAGAATTTAGAATGTTGTTTAGAGTGTCAGAATTTAGAATCTTGAGATTTATAACATTGTAATTGAATTTAGAATATCTGATTGGAATTTAGAATGATGACATGTAATTTAGAATAATTGAATGTATAATGCTGGGTTGGAATTTGGAATGATGGAATTAAGAATGCTGGTTTGGATTGGAATTTAGAATGTCGGGTTGGAATCCTGAAATTTATAGTACTGTAATTTGTAATGTTGAGCTTTAATTTAGAATGATAGACTGGTATTTTGAGTGCTGGAATTGAATCTAGAAGGAATTTAGAATGCTGGAGTGGAAATGAGATTGCTGGGTTGGAATTGAGAATGATTGGAACGTTGAAATGGAATTTAGAATGGTGGGATGGAATTTTAGAAAGGTGGATTGGAATTTAGAAAGATTGAATGGAATTTGGAAAGATTGAATTTAGCATTTTGGGTTGGAAATTAGAATGGGTGGAATTGAATTTAGAATGTTGAAATTAAGACACACAATGTACATCACATTTTCAAATGGACTAATGAAAATTTGGGGGCAGTTAAACCACCATTTCAGTTTGCTGCCATGTTTGTGATCAGCTGCATCCAAAGCATGTGCACCAAAGTCTACATGCATAGATTTTGTAGGGAGTTAATCTACTATGCCTACAATTTCGTAAAACAAATAAAAAATAAAACAATATAAATTTAAACAAACTTACCACACAGATCAGCAATCACCCGCTTGATTACTGTAAGATCTAGTAATGGTGGGTATACTATGTAAGCCTTTGAACCCTTAGCATTCTTTAGAAACCCACAGGGCTCAACAGAGAAAGGATTAAATAAGTGACACCGGAAACCGTGAAAATATAACCAGTCATGTCTAACCAATGGCATGGGGGCAACCACCATCAGTCAGGGCTCTCTGAATGACTCTCATCTGCAAACTGTGTAGCCATCAATTCTGATGACATGAGTAAATATTGAACTTGATGCTCCATGACATTATCATAAAATCAGACAATCTATTAAAGCTAGCGCTATAATTAATTTATATCAATCATTTAGATGTGCAGTAGAGAGCAGAGTGGACTGCCAGGGTGAATGCCATTTGAGAAAGAGGCATGTATAGGATAGATAGGAGAGAGAGGGCACAAATGGACACTTTTTGATTGGTTAATTGATTTTGGATTTGAATACAAATATCCCCTTGAAAGAGAATAGATTGGTGATGGTGTTACAATTCAGACTGGTGGTAGAGCTGATTGAGGCCTGTTTTGGTCTTTTTAAGTACATCTTATTAATTATTGCACATACATATTTTTTGTTTCTTTGTTTTAAGACATGCATTTAATTTTTAAACTTCCTTTGAAGACAAGAGCCAATGTAATATAAGTAGCTAATACAAATATGTGTTTTATGCATTGGTAATATATATTTGTTTCTGCAGTTTCTCTGAAGCATAATTGTGAAACCATTGTTAGCTATGCAGGAAAAAGATGAGTTTGCATCCTATCAGAAAAAAATGATATCTATACATTCTTTTTTTCAAAGGATAACATTCCTTAGATTGCACACTTCATTGCCAAGAGCTAAGATGTAAAAGGTGAACACCTCCTTATATTTTCCCTGGATACAATTATTCTATAGTATTTGTTTCAGGTTTATTTTGTTTACTTTAATAAGGAGTTGACATTCTCATGCTTAACCCAGATTGCCTTAGAAAAGTCAGTAGATGCCTTGCTGTTTAGTGAATATACCCTTCAGTGAATGAGGCCCCTTGAAGCTTCCAAGCATCAGAAAGCTGTTTCTGTTTTCTTTTCGTGGTTGCCAAGTAAGATTTTATTCACAGAAGGTTAAATATGGAGACGCAGTGTCATAGTGTGTCTTGACAAGTCTGGTCTGAGTACAACAAGTTCTGCATACATTCTATAAGAAATCCAAAGTTTTTTTTTAAAAAAGAGGCTTATTTCTACCAATATAATGTTTGTTTTGTCTGTTCTAATTCAAAATGTGTTATTGTGCAGGTCCAATATAATCATATTATACAGACAATTACTCTTACAACTTTACAACAAATTACAACTGGGCTACAACTAAAATTCCGATGGCAGAAATTGTTCCAGAGTCTCTTGAAATGTACTAAAATTAAATATAGCTAAAAGAAGGGACTCTCAGGACAGATTAATAAATGATGTTACCCATTATATAGTAGTAGAAATGTGCACAATATTATCAATATAATATCAATATTTTTGAAATCGGTATGGATCTTTCTTATTTCTCTTCACCTCAACTTATTTGTCCAATTTTATTAGCTTAGTTGGTTTAAATTCTCATTGTAATATGTTAAAGGGACCCTATAGTCACCAGAACAACTACAGCTTATTGAATTTGTTCTGGTGAGTAGAATCCTTACCTTCAGGCTTTTTGCTGTAAACATTGTCTTTTCAGAGAGAAAGCAGTGTTTACATTACAGCCTAGTGATAACTTCACTGGCCACTCCTCAGATAGCTGCTAGAGATCCTTCCTGGGTCATGGCTGCCTAAAATGCATCCAAACATTCAGTGTCTCCTCCCTCTGCATGCAGACACTGAACTTTCCTCATAGAGCTTCATTGGTTCAATTAATCTCTATGAGAAGATGCTGATTGTGTTTGAATCATGCTCGCTCTGCCCCTGATCTGCCTCTTTGTCAGTCTCAGCCAATCCTATGGGGAAGCATTGTGATTGGATCAGGCTACCAGTTCTGAGGATGTCAGCACACTGCTTGTTTTTCTGAGTCTAACAACATGCAGAGTTACAGCTTCAAGCTTGAATACTGTAAGATTTTTACTATATTTATGGAGGCATGAGGGGCCCAGGGGGGCTAGATGGTTGTTTTAACACTATAGTTATCCTTTAACCCCTTAAGGACCAAACTTTTGGAATAAAAGGGAATCATGACATGTCACACATGTCATGTGTCCTTAAGGGGTTAAGGAATATATTGTCACTTCATAACAATGTCATTGCATTACTTTACTGGGAGATAAGAGTGCTCACCTTTGAAGATTATTTGGCCAGAAATGAATATAAAATACA